TTCCAGGTCAGCTTAGTCTTTCTGAAAACATTAAGCTTACAACACATACACACAAACTGCTTAAACAACTTATTTTAGACATAAATTCATAAAGAAGTGTTGATTTCCAAGTCAAACCACATCCATTACTTCAAAGAGTGAAAACGACTTGATATCCAAGGGTTTTCCCTTTTTGCCACGAGTCCACCACAAGTCCAGAGATTAAGAGGATTGTGTGTGTTTGAAATGAGCGGGGTTCTGAGAGGTCCTTTTCCATATCTTCCAACAATGTCTTTAAATAACATTTAAAACATTTTACATTTTAATGACAGCTGCTGTGATGCGTAAAATGGCACCAAATGTGCGTAAAATGATGTGGAGAGGAAGGCAGGCGCACGAACAGAAACTAATGTCAGAGGTCTGGAATATTGATACAGCTTCTGGGCTCTGTTAAGGAGGCATTTTCAAAAAGAAGCAGAGATTTACTTCCCCACCTCGTCGAGCACTTTGCGGTTGAGCTGAGCCTGCTCTCTCTGGCTCTCCATCTTGGCCATTTGGATCATATTCCTCAGCAGGTGGAAGGTCAGGTCGATGGAGAGCGGCGGCTCTTCGCTGCGTTTCAGCAGCTGCGCCGCGGTCCTCATAGCCGCTTCCTCCGCCTCCTCGCTGTCTTCTTCTGGCGGGAGCAGGTGGAGACGATCCGGGTTCCTCCTCTGGAGAATCCTCATGATGTTTTCGCCCAGTAGATCGGAGGCGGCGTTGTCCCCGGCGGCAGCCGCTCTGAGGAGCACCTCGTCCAGTTGCTGCGTTTGAAGGCGACCGCTGCCATTCATCCAGCCAGGGAAGGTGCGCGGTCTGCCGGCGGCTGGACGGAGGTGTGATGACAGGAGGACCGAGGAGAGCAGCAGGAGAAGGGAGACTGGCTTCATGTCCTGCAAGAAAATGAAACATTTAAGATGACATTCAGGTTTAAAAGTACGTTTCATAGTGTATCTTGGAAATGTTGTGTTTTATTTACATTCTCTCTGAGCTAAGCGTGACATTCATACACTTTTAAAACTTTAAAGTTTGGTTTGGGTCGTGATTCGGCAGATGTAAAGTCTCATGTTCGCTCCAAAGGCAAAATAAATGTTATCTGTCAATCTGATGGAAAACCTAAATCTTCTAGAACATTTACTTGAACTGGAATTAAAATTACAAAAGAATATTTAATGGCAACATTTTCTTTTGTAGCAAAAGATTGTTCAAGCTAAAGCGCATAAGATGACGAGCACCTCGCTGCGGGGTTATTAAAAAGTTTAAATGATGAACAAAACTTTAGACTGAATGAAAGCACTACTGTTCTTACTTTACTGTCTCCAGATGCTGCAGCTGGACTTTGCGGTCGGCCGGTGAGATTCAGCAGAGTCTGAAAAGTCCCTGTGAGCGGAGACTAGAGGGGACCGGAGGGTTTTATACGTCCTGCCCGCTCCTTTGACGTCAATGTGAGCACAGATAGCGCATTGGAAACCGGACAACTATCGAGACGCAAAGCACAGAAGTCCCGAGGGACAGCTGGGGAAGCTGTGATGGACGGCGAATAAAGGACGTGATTTTTTTTTTTACAGCTTTATTTCTTTTTCATCCTTGGTGGGTCAACAAGTTTGATGAGGTAAACTTACAGGGGTACAGGAGGAAGGTGCCAATAGGTGTGGGATTTCTGGGGCGATTCAGGAACCTGCCCAACTTTTTATTCTTATATTATCAGAATTATTTTGTTGTGCGTGATTATGTTTTTTCTTTGCAACCCGCACTGCCTTAAATTCTCTCTTAAATATGAATAATCTGAATAATAATAATATGAATCAAAATCTGTGAAGAGCCTGTCTCCCTGCACTGCATTGCTAAAGGGCTATTTCACTTTCAGAAGTTCAAATGAAAGAATTAGAGGTGAATTAGAGGCAGAAACTAAGCGCTGAAGTGATGCAAGAAGATGTAAAAGACAATAAATCAGCATTAATTCAGCTCACATTCACCTGCCTGAAGTTAAAACTTTATTTTTCACCAGGCTGTGCTCTAAAGCAAAGTATTGCTTTGGCCAAATGAGACAAAGAAATGACTTTTAAAGATTAAATAGAAGCTGTGAACATGAAAAACGTCTTTAAACTGCAGGCATGTCATGTGCCTGCCTGCTTCAAGTCCTCCACCATAATCCCTGTCCCCAAGAAACCTAGGATCACTGGACTAAATGACTACAGACCCGTGGCTCTGACATCTGTGGTCATGAAGTCTTTTGAGTGCCTAGTTCTCTCCCATCTCAGGACCCTCACGGCCCCCCTCCTGGACCCCCTGCAGTTTGCATATAGAGCCAACAGGTCTGTAGACGACGCCATCAACATGGCCCTACACTTCATCCTGCAGCATCTGGACTCCCCAGGAACCTACGCCAGGATCCTGTTTGTGGACTTCAGCTCTGCCTTCAACACCATCCTTCCAGACCATCTCCGAGGCAAGCTTTCCCAGATGAATGTGCCTGATCCCATCTGCCGGTGGATCACTGACTTCCTGACGGACAGGAAGCAGCATGTGAGGCTGGGAAAGAATGTCTCGGACTCCCGGACCATCAGCACCGGCTCCCCTCAGGGCTGTGTTCTTTCTCCTCTGCTCTTCTCCCTGTACACCAACTGCTGCACCTCCACCCACCAGTCTGTCAAGCTAATCAAGTTTGCAGATGACACCACCGTTATTGGACTCATCTCGGACGGGGACGAGTCTGCCTACAGGAGAGAGGTTGAACGTCTGGTGTCCTGGTGCAGCCACAACAACCTGGTGCTGAATGCCCAGAAGACAGTGGAGATTATTGTGGACTTCAGGAAGCACACAGCCCCACTCCCCCCCATCATCCTGACTGACACCCCCATCACCTCTGTGGACTCATTCCGCTTCCTGGGTACCACCATCACCCAGGACCTGAAGTGGGAGCCCACCATCACCTCCGTCATCAAGAAAGCCCAGCAGAGGATGTACTTCCTGAGGCAGCTGAAGAAATTCAACCTGCCAACACGGACGATGATGCAGTTCTACACTGCAATCATCGAGTCCATCCTCACCTCCTCCATCACCGTGTGGTACGCTGGAGCCACTATCAGGGACAAACAGAGACTGCAGCGTGTTGTGCGCTCTGCTGAGAAGGTGATTGTCTGCAGACTCCCATCTCTGCAGGACCTGCACACCTCCAGGACACTGCGGCGTGCAGCTCGGATCTCAGCTGACCCTTCTCACCCTGGATACAGTCTGTTTGACCTGCTCCCCTCAGGCAGGAGGCTCCGGTCCATTCGCACCAGAACCTCTCGCCATAAGAACAGTTTCTTCCCCTCTGCTGTTGGACACATGAACAATAACCATATGACTGTCCCCGCACTAACACATGACCTACGCTGTGTCACTGCATCATTCCATGTTTGGCACTGATCACCACCTGCACTCATGTATATATCTTTCAACGTAGCACTCTTAATTCTTATCCCTACTTTTATTTTTTTCATGTCTATTTAAGTGCTATTTATGACACTATGTTTGCACTGAAGCACCGCAGCAATTTCCTAATGTTGTAAACCTGCTCAACATTTGGCAATAAACCCCTTTCTGATTCTGATTCTGATTCTGATTCTAAAGTCGGACTGAATGGGTGAGGGAGCTGTCTATGGTGCTGAACCTTCACGGGATTATTAGTAAAAGCTCACTTTTTATACCAGTCAAACCAGAATATAAAGAAATCCATAGTACATGTTATTTACTCTGAGTGAGTCACAGAGCTGCATAGTTAAATATTATGAATCACGTAAATAGGGGACAAAAGTAAATAAGGCCAAACACAAGTTTACATCCTCAAGTTCAACTTTTCCTTTTACAGACCTGAAACATTTCCCAGACTCACACTTAGCTATTCTTAATACACTGCACATTACATAAAGGTGGTCTGGCATAATCACAACAAAGTTTTCTTCTTTTAAAACACTTCAAATACTTGGGGTTGTTAGCTCTGTGTGCACTTGCTGTTCCCTTCTTTTTTAAAGAGGGAGATTATTTTTAAAGGAGCAGCAATTGTATTTCCTGTATTTGCATTTCCTCTGATTCATTAAACAACTCAGTTGTTTGACTCAATTCACTGTGAGCTAAACAAACCGACTTCTATGGTGTTAAATCATGATAGTAGATGAAATTAAAGAAGAAACTTAAAGAAGTCTAGTTTCTTTTCTTTCTAATCTCCTTAGATTACCTATAACATACACAGACAGAGATGAAATGTACTCCCTAAATGTTATCTTTGGGTTCTACAAATTTAGACAATAAGTTATAATATGGGAATCAAAAGAGCATTTTTGTGCTTTGACACACAACAATGCCTGCTAGCAACAGCCTGTAGAACAGTTTGATAAAGAAAATTTGTAAATATCATCTTTCATATGAAACTGTTGCTGTTTTCACTTTTTCTTCAGGACAAACATGAAAATGAGGAGAAAACGACTTCTTTCAAACACTTTGAGGTCACAAATTATGTAAATCCACACAAATTATGAGCCAACATCAGTAACTTCAAATTACAGATCAGATCTCATTTTGATCACAGATGTCAGCCCCATCACACACTGTTTTCAGGTTGCGCTGCTAAAAAGCCTACACACTGTATCTTCGTTTAATTACTGGGCCTTAATTCTCAAACACAGCGAGCCTGGGAGATGAATTAAAAAAATGAAATCCAGCTTTCTGGGGAGAGGCTCATTTCCCTCAGGCAGGCGGTGGGGATATTTGGCAGATTTTCAATCGATTCGTCAGACGTTTTCCGCTTGTTTTTCCCTGATATGGACCATGAGTGTGTGCGTTTGTGTGTGTGTGGGGGGGGAACAAAAAAAAAGAAAATTTGTGCAGTTAATTTGGTTGGCAGCCCAGCTCAGCAGCCTCCACATCTCCCTCCAAACAAACAACCCCCACCCCATCCAAAGCAAAGTTAGCGAGGTCAAACACACCACAGACTCATAAACTCAACTCGTGTAAAACTTTATTAGCTCTTACACCAGACGTGACCTTTAATTATCAAAAATGTGCCCATTATGGATAAAGCGATTCTTCATATCCTGAAAAAGGGGAACGCAGCACTGACATGATCCTGGGTTATGTTGCGGATTAGTGGTGACTCTTCAGCAGCTACAGAACAAATGTGACGCTGACTGTTAAAGGAACAGTTTGACGTCTGAGTAAATATGACTGTCCTCGCACAGAGAAGACTGATCTCACTCGTGCTTTTATGACACGTTATGTTAGTGTTGCATTAATGTATTTGCACTTGCATAGCAGTTTTCTCTCCTTACTGAACACTCAGAATGCTTTAGACTAGAGGAAACAAACTCCCGTTTATACAATGGTTTATTCTGTTCACTTTATTTTAAATGCTTTCTTGGGGTGAGGCAGCAGCAGTGTGAACCACTGGACCACAGTGATAACCAACCCAATAAAAGACTGGAAACAGGAGTAAACAGCTGCCTTGCTAACAACCACGATTTTAAAGCAAGTATGTAAATCTGAGTATAAATGTCTGACAACAACTGTCCAGTTGACCGTTTTCTGTTTCCAGCCTTTAAAATAGGATAAGCTTGGTGGTTGCAGACACCAGAGACGTATTGAGCTTGTATCATTCAACTCTCTGCAAACTATTCCTTTAACATTATGTTAAATAAGATAAGGAACAAGGCTCTTTCTTTACATAGCCATGATGTTAGATTAGGTACTTTAACCACAGGAACCTCGACCAACAAAATAAACTCAAAGCAGATAAGAGTTGGTGTAATCTGAGTGAAGACAAACTGTGGCATCTTGTCCATTTATATCAGCTTTTTCCTGAGATCTGTCAAATGTAGAAGAAAAGTAGAGACAGCTGACACAACCTCACCTGCTTGCAAACTTCACAGAGGAAAGGAGACAGTCTGAAGATGTCAAATCTGCTGCAACACTTCTCGAATGTAGAAAAACGTCACTACTCTGATTTTTTTTTTAAAAGAAAGAAAAAGGCCCCAAGCCAAATGAATTTAATCCAGTAATGCAGCTTTGTAAATGCTGCAGGAGGTTTGACCTCTTCGACTGTCAAATTAGGGGGAAATGAAGTAAAAGATGAGGCAGGTTTAGACAAAGCAAAAAAACACAACTATGTAAACTAAAATCACATTATTAGAAACTCTGGAATGCACTTAAAATATCTGACTAGAAGTCCATTATAGAAAAAAACCAACACATTACAAAAATAATGATGTCAATACACTAAAGAGATTAGAAAAGTTTCCTTTGTGAGCAATAGGTGTTAATGTATGAGTGTGTATGTGTGGATACACTGCAGCACCACCGCCAAATCCCATTTCCATAAATAAGAAACTTTCACAGACATTTCTGCAAATGCAAGTTTGACTTTCAAGTGTGAATTTGTCACTCGGAGTAGACGAGCCGTTTCTCCCGACCTTTACGCGTGACTCAGTCACAGCTTTACACATTGGAAATACCAGCAGACTAAGTAGCCTAAAGTAAGTTACGCCCATGTCACACACACTACGAATGAGTGCAAAGTAATCATCAGCGAGAACGACACAGGCTGGACTTGTGAGCGTCCTTCACATCTTATTGGCCTTCCAGGTCAGGTAGGAGTTCCAAGCAACAGCAACGACCTGGACGACAGCCAGCCTGCAAGGAGGACGAAATCTGATGTGTCTGGTTTGGATGCAAGTCGGAGAGTTTCATAAAGACGGAAATAAAGGCTTTCTGAGACAATTAAAGTTGGTTTCATGTGACATTTTCACAAGTGAAACAAATGATGTCTTATTTAGACGCAGAAGTAGTAAAACTACAACTTCAAAACATGTTTTCAGGTTTAAAATAATCCACTAAGATCAGACAGAGTATGTATCCTAAAAGTGCAGAAATGACTGTGTTAAAGCAGTCGAAATGTAAAAATAAAACCCTTAAGATTTGACTCTGTACACAAGCTTCTTCTGCTCTCACTAACCTTCAAATATGATCAGAGCTCACTGCCTGCATGCTAATGAAGCCATCAAACTCTCACCTGTGGTGCAGAGGGATGAAGTAGAAGTTGGCAATCTGGACTGGAGGCCAAAGCTGAAACAACCAGGAAACATTCAACTGATCAGCGAAACATATTCTGAAGAGATAAAAAGAGAGATTACACTGAACACTTACATAGTAATTAGAGATCAGGGCATCTGTGTAGTCCTGTGAACACAGAAAGAGAAATATTATCATGTCGGTACCATCTGAAATTACTTTAATGAAAAACATTCATGCTAAACTCAATTTATTACGAAAACAATAGAAAGGAAATGGTTATTTTGCTGCTTTCTTTTTCAGGTTCTCGTATCGTCTTCTGTTATAATCAGAGCATCACGCTCCTCTCCACTCCTCTAAAACCCCAAATAAACAAACATGGTCCTGACAAAAGTTCAACATGAGGTTTCAAATGTGAAGTTATTGTGTTAAATTAAGCAACTCTAAAACATAATTTACTATCCAAGAAAGAAGAACTATTTCTTTATTAGCTAGCTCTTCATGTGGAAATCAGAGGACGTCCAGAAGAAATGTGACACTGTCCCGTGAGCCTGTAAGAGAAACTCTGTTACAGATTCTAAACATACTTTCTTTTAATAAAAAGTAAACTGACTCAACATCAAAACAATCCCATTAAAGATGTGATTTGGTCCACAGTTAGCAGCACAGATTGTTTTACATAATTGAACAAAGATCTGTTTGTTTCTTTGTTCCTTCATCAAGCTCCTGTTCATGGATGAATATTTTATTTCACATTCACTGCCACAGATCCAAGCTTCTGGCCCCTGAGATCATCAGTTAGATCGTGGATGAACGAGTGTCAGAAGACTTCCTGTCCACCTTCCACTGCAGACACTGAGAGTACATTAATTCATGAAAGCTGCACTCCTCTCCCTCAGCCTACTAAAAAAAAAAAAGACAAAAATCTTAAGAGGAAACTTTTAGTTGTATTTAAAAGACAGAAGTAAAGTGTTTCTCCACTCAAACATGACGGACAAACTCGTGACCTCCTGCTTAGGTATGAGGTTCAGCCCTGCAGCGTTTTCCATCAGAACAGTTGAAGCTGCCGGTGGGGGAGGAAGTGAGGAATGCTGATGTGCTCAAACTACAGCTGGTGAGTAGTTTCTGTCCAAACGGAAGGTAAACTGTATGCATGAACACCTTCATCAGCCACACATAAACACACTTTATTTCACTCATTTTGTTAAAACAAGAAAAATTTATTTACATTGTTACAATAAGTAAATAAATATGACATGTTAATATATTGCTATATTGAAACTTCAGAGTAAAGGTTATTTAACATAGTTTCCTTCTGCAGTGAAACAAAGAGCTTCACTTATTTATTTGACACAACATTTATCCACCTGTGTCTGCAAGTCGATTACAGGCTGTGCTGTCAGCACGCTGTCTGATCTATGAAATAAAGCATGCTGCCCTCCTCCACCATCGCCATTCATTGAAGTTAATCTGAAATTTATACAAGTTAAAGTTGGATTCTTAAAAGCTGCGTGCAAGCGTTCATGTAGCCACTGCAGCATATTTACAGGTAGGCCCACATTTTTTTGGACACTGACACAATTGGCTGTAACTCCTCTATATTTAATCAAATGTCTGCTTTTAAAGCCCTCATTCATCAGATAACCCTAAATTCAATATACTCTAAAACCCTGACAATACTTTTACAGACCTAACTGGATATTACAGACGATTTGTGTCTGAAGTCTGCGTGTATTGTCTTAAAGCCCTTTGAATCATTGCTCTGACGTTAATGTGACAAAAATGATGCTGACAATATACCTAAACTTGCACATACCATTTAAAGAAAAAAGAAAAGGCTTCTTTTATTTGTTCCCTTATTTGACGTGGTAGAGCTCAGCAAAAAGATTATGAATTATACTTAAAGAAATGTTTTGGCGTGAGTGCGTCGTGTAGTTTAATCATGTTGTTATGCTGGCGATGCAACCTGAAGGTAGAAATCAGGTGTTTGTTCTTAATAAGCAACTTTCTCTCTCAAACACACGATATTACAAAACACACACACCAAGAAAAAAACCCAACCTGTCTACTTAAAGGTCACCCTGACATCTCCTGGCATATAAAACCAACAAGCCAATGTTCCAGCTATAATATTTTTCTGCCTTTTTTCCAGGATGAAAACAGTGTTTTAATTACGGTCAAACAAGCTAGTTTGCCACCTGGGGTGAAATTACGTCAATGTCTTTACCCATACATGACGGGACCTTTCTTACCTCTTCTAGGAGCTTTGTAGGATGCAATAAATATGAAGTTTTGTTGTAAAACTTTAGTGAAATACTAAACCCCAAATTCAGCTAAATTATTCATTAAAAATGATCTAATAAGATTGTCTAAACATTCAAGTTTTAGGATCCAGGTCTTCTCAGGGCAGCACGTGGAAGCTAGATTTGTGTTTGCACTTTGCACACTGTACTGTATATGCAACATCTAACACAGGTCACACTTTTCTGCTCTTCCTGTCTTTACACTGTGCAGAACATTATGAATGTTCAGACTCTGATCAGTTACACAGCACAGCATGTGGTCTGACCCTGACATCGTGGAGTTGATCTTGGAAGAGAATGACGGCAAACGGAACAACATGCTTCAAAACCCCAACCTGCCAAGTGCCTCGAAAAACTGTGCAGTGATAAAGTTGTGATGTTTGAAAAACAGAGCCTCACACTTCTCACCTGTTTTTCTCACTTTTTCTCCAGCGTACTGTGTTTTATTTTTGAGTAATGACCAAGACTCTGACCAAACAGTTGCAGGTAAAAAGCAGAACAGGTAAACAAGAGAGGCAAAGCTGCGACTGGAACTCTGTCCAGATTTATCAATCACAGCGGCTGTTTGGTCAGAGGCTCCATTCATTTTCATCTCACATTTCCTCAGTGCCAGACCCCGTTGTAACGAGCGCATTTGTCATTTATTTTCTGTCCTTTGTGACATTTACCGGGTTGGCCTTTCAGGTCTGCGCCTCTCCTTTTGTAAATAATTGATGGTGATCAGCAGCATGTTGGGAAAGCAAGGCGGCGACGGGCGTTTGAGCAGCTGGCACAAGATGACAGTTAGCTCTGACCTGGCATACAAACACACACTCGCACACGTATATATGAAGGTATGAGTCACACTGGTTATTTCCACACTCCCTCCCTCCCTCTCTCTCTCGCCTCTTCCTCCATCACAGGAAATAGTTTCCAATAATAATGAGAGGTGAGTGTTGGAGGTCAGATGAAAACCAAACTTCCTCTCTGTGTACTGTCGTTTACCTGAGCTGTGTGCGTGCAGGAAGCTTACTGCTCTCTGACCAGTTTGTTCGTCTCAGGTTTAGTTTTAGTGCTTAAAAAGGTCAAATTCATGCCACACAATGACGACTGTAAAACTCTACACACGGAGAACAAAGAAAGGAGGGTTCGACGAAGACTTTGCATCTGAAATCTGAATCATAGATTCTTTTTTCTATGTATTTAAATGCAATTTTAGGGTAACAAAGTAATTTATCTGTGCAATTCAAACTGATACCTTTCAGGCTTTGGATAAACCTATTTTTACGTGACGATGTAACATTTATAAATAAAAAATGAGCTGAAGACACATCAGGTCAAACTCTAACCTTTTACCTCAAGTGGAGTTTTTCAAATTGATCAACGTCACCTGGAAGATTTTCCACATCACTACAATACTGATGGACTCATTCAACACAGGGTTAAAGGTGACCATTAAAAATGGTCAGAAAAATGTCAAGCAACCAACCCTCAGTTTATTGCCCTAACTGCTACCAAGCTTCTTTTTGAGGCTCATTAACGCCCTTTTTCAGACTTACACTTCACAAAGGTCAAAGGGTGAGAGACACATGACACAGAGTTATTTCTAGTGTTTTGCATGTTATTTCCCATTTTACACTGGATTGTTTTTCCGCTGGGTAATGATGTTGGGAATGAATCACGACAGGGTACTGAAATAAAACTCACTCACCCTCCTGAGCTTGGTGACGTTCTCCTCGACTGTCAGTCCATTCAGCGCGCCAGAGATGCAGAGGAAGGCTCCCAGAAAGCACGGCGCAAAACACAGCTGTAAGGAAACAAACCAAAAAAACAAGAAGAAGAATCATAAGTTAATCATAAGTGTAACTGCTGTGGCCTAAATCAGCAGATTTCAGGTCAGTTTTATTTAAAAAGCTCCCCTCTGGCAGTGTGACATCAACCTAAACTGAGCAGTAAATGTGCAACCTAAAAACAGAACATGACTTTTGATTATGAGAAATTGGGTGATAAATATCTAATTAATCTACTTGTGACAAAACATTTTCCTGCAGCACATCCGGAAAAGGAAGTCTTTAAAGAAACATCATGGAGGATGAAATCTTTCCTTCGCTGTCATTCTTCTTTTTGTCTTACTTTCTTGATGTTTCATTTCCTTCGATTGGATTTTTTTTCCGAGGATCTTGGGATGCTTAGCTGCTACTCCATAGAAGCTGATGGAGTCCAGAAACAAAGTAACAAACTGAGTCTATAACTAAGTAATAAAATACATACCAGTGATAATCTAAGAAATCTGAAAGACTGAGGTTAAACTGTTCCTAGTATGAATCTTACATGAACAGTCACTCGACGCTACAGCTGCATCACCTTAAATCTTTCAAGTGCTGCTGTTTGTTATGCACACTGAGGTGAAGCGAGCAGCGCTGACAGTGCGACTGGATCACTATTCAAGCGTGCAAGTGAACCCTTTGCTCCAGTAAATATTTTATTCAGTAACAAGCAGATACTGCTTTTTTTTTTTTTTTTTTTAACATTGTGCTCTGCTGCAGTTTCACTGAAACACAGCAGGGGGCAGCATGAAGCTACCAAAAATGACTCGTTTTTAGACATTTACAGAAAAGTTGCATTCCAAGTTTATGCTATATAATTTCATTGATATGTTTGTGTTCCTTAATCTAAAGTTAATGATTCATTCAGAAAGCATGAGGTACAGATTATAGTTATGTGCAACTAGTCGACTGAACATTTAAACGTTGCAGCTTTTGCTACTCAATGCCAAAAATGATAGTCAGTTATATTCAGCAATATTCTTATTTTATTAAATTACGACAGGAATTCCTGGTTCAAAGTTGTTCTACCACCATCGGCCACTCCCTGGGGCTGAACCCTGTTTCCTCTCTTTCTATGAATGAAGCAGTAAATAAACAGAGGCTTAAACTAAAAAGATGACAGCTGTTCTGCAGCACTTATAAATCAATCAATGCAAACTAACTGTATATCAAGCTTTGTCAGAATAAACTGGAATATAACTAAGCAACCGAAGTCAGATGTAGTCAAACTGCACCTGCAACTCTTAACTAATATGACATCACATGTGTTTGAAACATTATACAAAGTAAACAACATTTCAAGTATGTTCTGCTTTAGATAGTTTCTTAGGTTTTTCTATCAATTAGGCTATTAAATCTTTTTTTTGGCTGTCTCATTTAAACAACTAAATGAGCAACTACAAAATACCAGTGCTACCACTCAGCACCCTAGTAGATACACCTAAGGTATTAATTTGAAAATCCTCTGTGACTTCCTTCTTGAGTTATCGCATTCACAAACGTGGGTGTCCGCACCGCCCGCTCACCCTGTAGATGACAATGATACCCCACCAACCTACAGCTGAGGGGCAAAAACTGGAGCTCTGTTGCATAACTCAGCCTCTCCACTCAAAAGCTTCACAAAAAGGGAAAACAGTCTGCTAACAAGAGTTTCCTCCCATCAGGACAACAAAGACTCATCTGTCAGTCAAAACGATCTCAGCAGTCAGGCTTCATCCACTCTGTTTGCCACAACTAACAAGCTCAGTGCGAGTGGCAAATACACACTTACACACAGAGAGCTGTTTTTATTGCTGAGCTGGTGTTCGGTTTGCTTTGCTGAGAAGAAGAAGAGGAAGAAGAGGAAGAAGAAGAAGACGACCATTAAGGGTCCTTAAGATGCTCATCTCACCTGGTCGACCAGCATTTTCTTCATGGCAGCGCTTTTGGTTCCTCCAACAACCAGTCGGTCCAAAACCTTGTACCAGCTGCCGATGACAGGGCCCTTTATTGCAACAGAAATAAAATTACTCTTGAAATCCCCCACTTAATTCTCTTCTAATATCTTTAACTGCAATGGAAGCAGAAGACCGATGATGGATTTCATGAAAAATAAAAACATCAAATCTTTGCTTTTTGGTTTGTGCATTAAATACTCAGCCATTTATTCACAATGAACTCACAAAATGAACCAAAGTTAACAACTTGCTATGTGAACTATACAAACCTTTGTGTCTAATTGCAATTTTCTGTAAATGTGTGTCCTTCACAAATCAACACAGGTCCACAAGAGAGAAACTGACACTGACATGGAGTTTGTTCAAAATCAGTCAAAATTTAACAATATTTCTACAAGGTGCAATCACAAAGTTCTAAATTGCTGCTGATAAAATTAAAAAACATGACCTGGCTTAGATTTGGGTTCTCTCCTCAGACTGCTGACAGCTCAGCTGCTGTTTTCAGATCACTCCTCCTCAAAGTCACATTGTTGTGTCCATAAAACTACAGAGTACTTCTTGAAATCAAATTCTCCAGCTTTTATAACACCACTGTGGGCTGTGATCCTCGTTGGCCAGATCAAGGAAAGTATTTATTAACAAACCCATCATACTTGCTAGTTTTGGCCCACTGCAACTCCTTCCTGTTCCCAAAATAAAAGTTACAAAGATGGACTGACATAGTGGGGAACCAAGGAAAGTATAAGACTCCAGCTGAACACCAAACAAAAAACAGATGTCCAGAGGTGCAAAAAAAGATGATGTTGAAGATGAGACTGGCTAAAAATCAAGTATTTTTTGTTTGTTTGGGGTTTTTTTATGTGCCGAGTCCTGTAACTCTGTGTTTGCATCTTGCAGAAGATGCACAAGTAACAACAGAACAGGGAATTCTTCTCCACTACCAAAAAATACAAAACTTAGGCCATAAAGGTACAAAAATAGTGTTTTATCAAATTTTTACATTAAAAGTTTTACATTTTAAATTAATGTCCAATTTTAAAAACATTTTCCAAAAGAACTCAGCAGCTTTCTGTCAACAGCTTCCCTCCTTAAACGGAAGCACGAGCAGGCTGGCTGAAGATAAACCGAATTCAACCAACAAATGGATGCATTATTTATGTGAAGGAGAACGATACATGATGCATGAATATAGGTGCCAATAAACATGTGTCTCAAGTCCTGTGTGTGCTGAATAGCCACCCTCCAGACAAGACTAAATATCTATACATCTTGCGTGTATATTTTTGTACGATGGAGGAGCTTCAGATAATTACGGAAACATAAATAAACTTTGCCTTCGTCACAGCGACGTCAGAAAGAAATGAGCTACTTGGAGGGCGAATTGTGCAGCTGTCACAGTTAGTGAAATACTGATGAATTAAACATACAAAGACATGAATGAGTGGTATACAACAAGTAACACAGATCAGACAAGTACATCATGAACACACACACTTAAAGTCATTAATTACAGATGCACAAACAAGCAGGAATCTTTTTTTTTTTCCATGAACACAATAATTTTCCTTTATATTAACTTCCTCAATTTAAACAATTAACCAGACAGTAAAAACCTGTGGCAACATTTCTTCTTCCAGGGAGCCACACTGACATGGATCGAATCAACGAAAACACATCACGCAGTTTAAGTTAAACTCTAAATTTGCACAGCACAGTGTTGTACAGTGTGTTATCTGCACAGTAGAAGGCCTGCCTCTGTATGTTTAAAACTTTGTTTTAAAATGTTGACTTTGTTTTACAAAGGTGCTCATTTGGTGTCCTCTGAGGTGGCAAAATAAATCTTACAGAAAACCTTCCATATTGTAAATCCCCTACTGCATTACCGTATATCATATATAACTAGTTAGCACTATGTAGCATAACACACAATTTCGGGACACAGCATTTGGGAATGACTGCTGTGAGTAACTGTGGTTGTCTATAATAAAGAAGCATGATTCAGTGGTTGAGTTTGGGAACGTTTCTGTATGAAATGACTTGGAAGTGTCAGCATAGCGACCACAATAACAAATGTATGAATTTTCCAAATCCTTTGTTTCCCTTATCACCCCCTTTAGCAGAGGACACACTGAACCATCATTTATAAAAGAAAAGGAGATAATGCCTCCCATGATAACAAATTTTAAACACATTTGATTCTATGATGCCGTTTTTATGTCTTGGTGAGCACTAATTACTGTTTTAAATGCTTAACATAATGACCCGGGTATGCACCGACAGGCATCACAAAAATGGCTGCTGAGAGGCTAGACTTGCTTTCATATGAACTAAAACATTATTCTATTTCACCATGATTCACACAGTTTCTCTAGATCTAAAAAAAAATCAAGCATGTAACACCTTTTTAACAAAATAAAATCAAAAGTATTTAGAAAATTTTAAAAAGTAAATGAACTGAGAGTCAGAAGGATACTTACCACAAAGAAGAAACCAATACTCATCATCTTAGCCGTCCTCTGCACGTTGTGGTTAGCCAATCCTCTCCTCTCGATCAGCTGCTGGGAGATGACATCACCGACACCTACTAAAGATCCTGGAGGTCAAACAGAGTTGATACTGCATCTCAGTCCCCTGAGCACAATCTTCTACAGATATGATCCGTGCAGACATGTTACTATTCCTGCAGTGAGAATCTGATTAGGCAGCACTCTTGTAATTACTACATAATAACCACAAATATGCCAAAAAATGTATTCAAAGAATCAACTTTACTGTTAATATTGAAAATAATGTGTTAAAATACTTTATAAGCCTTCCAAAATTAACAAAAGCTTCCAACCAAATGTGAACTACTAAAAAAATCTGCATTGTCTTAAAAAGAGATCAGCTGAAGTCAAACTCAACCTGGAAAAAAGGAAAAGTTTCTTGAGATCAAATTTTAACACAACTTGTGATAAAATGCTGCCACCCAGTGGTGAAAGTTTAAGTGACATTTTGCAGGGGGCGTTTACAAAAAGTATCTTTAAATGCAACAAAACAGTCCAAAAGTACAAACTCCCATCAGAGTTCAACTTGGCGATGGTCACGCAATGTGTCCCTCAAACAGACTCAGTTGTTTTTCTTCTCTGTAATTTATCTTATTTATACGAACAAATGAGATTTCATCACCGAGCTCTTGTCTTCATTTGTTTCACACTGTTTATTAGCAGGCATTAAAGGGTTGTCACCAACAAGCCACCATTAACTCATCATCATTGTGTTTTTACTTTGAACTTGGCACCATCCATGAATTTCCTGAGTCACTGCTAATTTTTTATTTATAAACCAATTTTAGACAAACAATCCTGCTTAACACTGCAGAGATTTCACAGAGGTCCTCTTCAAGTCTTCTGTTTGTTTCTAACAAAAATCCTTTAAAAAAATAATAAATTGGTCCAGCAACTCATTTAAAGGCCTTAATATCTCCAGCTTGAGTCAGGACCTCAGTAAGCTCTGTGGTAAATTACTCCACTTATTAGCTTTTCACTTTATTATAGTGGGCAGCTAAAACTTCTTGGGTTTGGTACAGACGTGTCACCTCTCATCCATGAAGCTTCTTCAGTTCTAAAGAAAAATGGTGGAGAATCCTAAACATTTAAGTCCTAGTGAAAGTTGTGCCCCTTGGAGGCAGCCCCGACGGTCGTTGACCAACTACTGATTTATGCTTCAGCAGGAAATCTACACCACAGTTATGTAATCACAGTAAACCCCTCTGAACCCCTGTGCTGTAACCTGACGTGCACCTACCTGCAGATGTTAGGTCGATGCTGGCTGTTCAGCTCCATTGATTAGGAATAATAATCATAGTATCAGTATAAATACAATTGTCAGCTGATTAGACGTCAGCTGGACGTAATGGAATAATAATAAGATAAACTAAATTCATGTGTCATAAAATGTAGTTATAACAAAAACAATTTAAAAACAGACCAACTGCTCAGAAATTCATGATGTGTCAACACTAACCTCAAATCTTTCAATAAATTTGGGTTGGTTTTTTTCCCCCTTTCTTTTTTTGTAGGAAACTGAATGCAAACTGAAATTAAAAACTTTGAAAATGCATGAAGACTGTCAATAGGGGAAACTGATTTTTCTTTTTTTAAATTCCTCAGAGAGGCTCCTTTTAGCTGCTCTAGCTGCAAGGTCAAACCTCTGCCTCTATCTAGTGGCGACTAAATAGTACTGCAAACAGTACTTTAAAACTACAGCCTTCTGAAAAAAGTAAAGGGTTAATGCAACACTAACTGCTTAGGTTAGATCATTTACATCTGAAACTTGCTCCAATGTGTGAATCCACCAGAGCTCTAAAAGCCATTTTCAACGCTATGAAATCCAAAAGTGCTACACAACAGTTACAGAAATATTTTTGGTCTAATACCTGCATCATATTAAACTCATCAGCATGCTTTAGCTCTCTGTATCACGTTTTAGACATTTTGGGCAAACAGAGTTCAATTCAAATGTTTTTGTGTGTGTGTTAAATCAATATATTTATGGTTTCGTCTGGATGTTCTGATCACTTATCCTGTAAAAATATATGCAAACTTGATGTTCTCATGAGTATGTACGACTCTACAATCTTCTTGAATAGATGTACATATCATACACATATTATTGATTCTTTTTTCATTTGCTTTTATTCCTGATCACAGTACAATGACCTTTAGCCTGTGTCTATTTGTACACTAAACTGGAGCAAAGGTTTGTAAAGTCAACCAGAAGCTGAAACGGGACCCTTCATTTTATTTTAATCAACAAAGGTCAGTGTATGGTGTACCCAACTGCACCTTCTCATGTGACATCTGTCTGCAGCTTTTCTACATTTACGTTTGCGCATTCAGCATGTAACTTATTTTTATGTGCAGTGACAAGGTTGTCCTACCCGCTGTCACTATCTGGACTGTCCAGGGGTATTTAGTCATCAAGACCTGGTAGCCTCTCCAAAGGCCTGCCATTCCTCGTCCTAGGAAGAAAGAAAAATAAAAGCTTGTTGCAAATGCAGACTTTTCTGCTCAATCACCCCGCCCGCCGGTTGTAACGTGATTCAAATCAAGTGATACCACTAACAAGTTCCGTTAAACTGTCCATTAGTGATTGCCCATTAGTGTAAACTTCGGGCTTTTTTTTTAAAATTATTTCAGGGTTTTAAAACACTTAAATGTATCCAAGACCTATATCGAAGAGGTTAGCTCACTCTTTCAAATTCAGTCAAACGGCTAGCTAATCCTCTCCATTCAGTTACATCACACTTATGGTCAACTGCTGACTCAAAGTTAACATGTTATTAAAGTATTCGTGTTTCGGTAAATTTTGTCAATGCCGAATTCTAACACTGGGTCTAACATTTTCTCTCAAGCTACCGAAGTTGTTAATAGATGTCTAGTTTTACGACAGCTTAGATTAACTGTAAAATCTATTTTTTTTTATGACGTTTGGCTTGAGGCTCGGTCTCGTGCTGGCTGGCGAAGCTAACGTTGCACGGAACCTACGACTTGCACAGTGCGTCATTAGCGTCTCTAAATCACAGCACTAACTTTTAATCACTCGTTTAGCTTACGAAACCAAACTAAACTGCACTCCTAACACACTGTAGCAACTCAGTTTAAATCAAGAATAACGAACTGCTGAGTCTTTCATCGTTTCTGTAACTTTCCGTTTAACATTATTGCAGCTGCTGTTTAACTCACCTTTACAGCTCACCGTAGTTAACTTAAAGGTCCGTAAACTAGCAAGCTGTGGATAATGTAAATAAAACTGTACACATGCCCGGCTTCCCTGAGGAAACAGGCGGAGATGCTTTCACGGCACGGAATCAGCTCCGACTTTGCAGTACTCCAACTGTACAGCACAGAAAAATATGAATACAAATTTATGTGGTATACTGTTGTTTCTATTTTAAATACACTTACTTCTTTAGGCTTAGCTCACATCAGTTATATTTTTATAGTTTAAAGAAGTTGTCAATCAAGTTGGGTCTTATTAGTCTCAAGTTTTGTATTTATTATATTGGTAATTCTTCCAGTGCAACAATTTAAAAAAAACCTGGTACACAATTAAAGGTCTTCTAAAAATTCCAATACAATAAAAAGGGGATCCAGCTAACACAGACATGTAGGCTTCCCAGTCTCAAAGATATTTCCTGAATTATTTTAGTATTTTAAGTACATGATGTTTTTATTAGTTTATATTAACTCTATATTATTGTCATTTCAGTTTAAGTGATTTTTACAGATTACTTTAGAGTTTACTTGACTTTGACTAACACAGTATTCATTACATCTGCGTAAATTGATTAGTAATCAACAATTTATTTAGCTTTGTTGCAACCGATAAGGGCAGAAGAAACCGTGATCTACTACGACCAGTGAAGACAGCATAGGAACTGTAGTCTGCGTCAGTTCCGCTGTACACAATAACATAGGCACACCCCTGCCCTCTAGAGGACAACTCCAGAATAACAACATGACAGGAAGCAAATTGCAATGATTTTTATTCTGTTCAAGTGAAGTGGCACTTACGATAAATGAAACAAAAAAGAAAGAAAAGTTATTACAATGGGACTTCTGGTTTACAAACAGGTGTAACTGGCATAAAAATGACAATGGAATGGCTTACCAGGAAACCAAAATGTAAATCACTCAAGGAGAGGTCAATACTGTCCCCAGAACACATTTTTCAAGTAACGTGTTGTAATTTGCTCTAACGTGACCTTTTTTATTGACTCAGTTTGCATAAAGTCAAAAGAAATAGAGTTATTTGAGAGCACGGGGTGTCAAACATGCAGCCCGGGGGGACCAGAACCAGGTCCATTTTGGCTCATTTGATGACTTCACAAAGTGTAAAAACTGGGAGAGATCTCAGCTTCACTAGCAAGGAGTGACAACATCTGAAAAGTTAATAGTTTTAAATCTAGACAAGTTAACACTTTCGTCATTGGTAACTGAAATGACAACAGACTCTGTGAATGTGGAAAAGCTGAGGCATACTGTTGAGATTGCACTTTTGTAGGATGCAGAAAATGTAGTTTCAAAATGGATGACCAATTAGACAAGAAAATGTAAATAAATAACAAGTAACGAGGGAGTGGGGTAACTGGTGTGGTGTGCTAGGGACAGGGTGAGATAGGGGCCGATGTGGTGACCCTGAATTGGAGCAGCTGGAAGAAGAAGACAAAGACGACACATACATAATCTTACGGGCGTGGCTCACTTAAGATTATTTGTGGCCATTCGTGGGCTGTGAACTGATGTTTGACATCCCGGCTTTAGAGTTTTGCTCACAGTGGACATTTGGCACATGTGTAACAATATCCACACAGCTGCTGCTCCTGCTCCCCAAAGCCTCATCATCAACTTTACTCGCTTTTTGGTACCAGCTTCCCACTTTACCTCAACGTCGAGAAGAGCAGCCATCACAGCAAGGTGCAACATTACACGAAGCAAAACACATGAAGAGCAACGATGGCACGTATGTGGCTTTGGAAATGCAGAACTTCAGCATTTTCTTAGCTTGCTTAAAACACCAAAAATGGTGGTACCAAGAATCAGTCGCACTGTGTGGTGGAAATGAGGCCTTGTAAGGAGCAGGTACGCAGGTGAGGCTTTTAAGCATTGAAGCACCTGAAAGAGCTCAATTTAAACTGCTTTTAAATCTGTGTTTCTCAAATCAAACTGTCATTAAATAAAATGATACGGCACTGGATAAGAGCACAGAACTGAAAACATATAACATGCAAACAACATTTTCATGATGCAGTTTGAATAAACATCTGTTATGTGTTGAATGTGTGAAGAACCCTCATACAATACAATAAATAAATAAGAAAACATTTTTTAAAAATGTCTGCAAACAGAAGCAGTGTGTGGCATTTACACATGAAATGCTACTAAGACTTAAAGCCAATCAAAATCTGGGAAATCTGAATGCAGCTCTGTTTTAAATCAAAACGTTATAGCAGCAAAGACCCCTGCTGTCATTTGGTTTAAGATGTTTTCTGTTGATGAGAATCAATAAAATCTCACAGTAACAGGGGCTTCAGGTCAAGAGCTGACAAGAAATACAGTACAAAGCATTCCCTAGTTGTGTGTTGATTCAATTAGCAGCTGAAGCTTGGCAGAAATGTTTAAAATCTCAAAATTTAAATTGCTTCAATAAAAAATAACTAACTGGGATATCCTGGCTCTCTTATTGCTGTACAAGAACCATAAAGTCAAAGACACTGAGAAAAAAAAAAACAATTTAACAGGAGAGTAACCGAATAAAAAGGAAGCTAAAACCTTTCACCTTTTCACTCGGTCAGTCTTCTTCAAGTATGAGTCGTTGCTGTCCCTTTCAGTGGAAGTCGCCTGAGATAAAAGTGTTTTACAGTACAGACAGCTGCAGCTTCAGCAGCAGAGCAAAGCTGGAATACACTGATTCTTACGAGAGCTTTAAGCTAGGAGAGAAAAACACCAAGCTACACCGTTAACTAGGCCAGACGCATCACCTCCACGCTCGCCTTTATGTATATGTGCAAAGCAAATGATAACATTATTATTGACTGACCCAGCACCAGGAAGTGACCATTTTCATAAACTGCTTATACATCATTATAACTGAGCGTCGCTGGAGCTGGATCTTCCAGTTAACTTAGCGGCTGGGTTTTAAAATCTGTCAATTAGTCATTTTATTTACATTATGCAGGTTATGAAGGTCAGCTTTTCCAGTAAACTGATGCAAATCTAAACATCACCCCTGAAGGCTCACGGGCTGCAGCTTCAGCAACAAAAACACATCACTGGCAAAATTATTAACACCAGAATTAGTTCTCTTTTTCAATAGGTAGCTTTAGGTTTCCCCTTTTTAAATTATAACTTAATGGTATATCATCTTTTTAGAAGCATCCCGCATCCTGCAGGACAGCTAACGCTTTCAACTTTGGCTCCTGACTTTTTTAATAACCAAACTGACCTTAAAGTATATCATTGTGAATGGGAAGCAGTTTGTAGAGCAACAGCTGACTGTTCAGGAGGACATCAATGGCACCAATCAGCTGTCTTCTTCTTCCAGTGACTAAGTGCTTTTGTAACAACCCTGCACCTCTCTCCTCAGAACTCCATCCCCTCGTCACTTTCACACCAGTCCGACGGAGCATCGGTGCCGAAGTAACGATCTCCAAAATTCCCTGAGAGGAGCAGGTGAAAGAAGACGGGACAGAAAAAGTTGGACTTTTCTTTATTGTGTTCTCTGTAGTGGGTGACATCCGTTGCGAATATGGAAGATTTTAAAGAACATAACTGCCTTTTTTTTACCTTTTTCCTAACTTAATAAGATTATAAGCTACACTGTGTACAGAGAGGCTCATTTATAATCACAGTGGGAAATTTCTAAGATCATTTTTGCACCTTTGCTGCCACTGATTTGGATGTGAGACTACAGTGTGTATAAAGAACAGAGCTCTTTCGAGCAAATGTTTACATTGTAAACCTTCCCAATAACTCCCTTTACCTTACTATTCAAATATTTATAATCCTGGCTAATAATCTACTTTAAATAAACCTAAAACACACCGCTGACTTTTCTGTGGCTTTCCCTAACTCGCAAACACCCTGCAGCCGCTCTGCTGGTGCTAGATTTTGTCTGCAAACGGTAGAGCTTTCATCCATGCAGCAGTGGTTTTGTAATTTGTGTAATTCACAGATGATTTACCTTTTAATGCCTCTTATTGATTTATAGGTGACCTTTTCTTATAGCCTTCCACTGTTTGTCAATAAAGGCTAAAAAATACATTTCAAGGCCAGAGTGCAAAAAACAAACTTGGTTGTTGATCTCTTCCAGCTCTGCAAAGTCCATTAATTTCTTCCATTAAGGCCTCTGACACAGTCCTTGTTTCTTATCAGGACACTTTACCCTAGATATACTGTCAGTAAAGTTTCTTAACACACTGTTTTGTTTTGTTTTGTTTTGTTTTGGGCAAAACCAGAAGATTTATGGGGCTAATTATGCTTAAAACTCTATAAATCATGTTAATCGTCTATTAAAAGTACAATGTTTTTCAAACAGATGATAAATGAACTTTGATAAAGCCAGAGTGCATGTACTCACCGATGCCTGGTATGATGTGGAACTGGTCGTTGACCTCCTTGTCTACGGCGGTGGTGATGATCCGAACTTTAGGGAAGGCGTAGGCCACCGAATGGACCCCCATCTCAGCCATAAGCAGGGACAACAGGAAGATCTTATCCTCAGCTACATCGTGGTCCTTCATGTGGAGAAACACAGAACTTATTTCTAGATGATGTCGGTGAAAGAACACATCCAAGCAGAATGAATAATTTCATATATTTACATAATAACTTCAGCTTCATTAACAGCATCACAGGGTAATAAATACTAATGACCTGAGCCTGCACAATGTTTGATAATGGATAAAATAAATCACCTGCAGCACTTTTATTAAACTGATGGTATCTTTTAAAAACAAGCATTTCATTGTTTGCCTACCCTGAAACAGACACTTCAGCCCTGAAGGGTTGGAGCTGGCCAAACAGCCTAATCCCTGCAGTAATCACACTAAGGTAGCTTAGAGAGAATTTAAAAACATCAGCACTTTTTAGGACACCAGTTTTCACCTTTATTTAACCAGGAAGTGAAAGTCTGTTAGCATAACAATGTCTTTTTGCTCTTGGGTCAAGAAATGCAATATTAACCTAGCACGTATTTTGAGGTACGAACAACTGAGCTGTGAAGACGTGGGGCCAACCTACCAGCAGAACTCTGACCGCCATGAGCGCAGCAGCTCCAGTGGACACGGTGCTGTCCATGAGGATGACGTAGTCTTCACTGATGTCTTTGGGCAGACGAAGGTAATGAAGCTGGAGGATGGAGAGAAAAAACAGTGAGAAAGCTTATTAAATCTATACAACATAAAAATCTAACTTGTACAATAATTAGCACTGTGGAAAAAAATAAATCAAACAAGCAACTTATTAAAGAGACAACCCTGTTTGAACAACAGAGTCGAACACGAAGAACCAGCTAGATCTGACATGTAAAATTGTGTTTTTAATGTTGCCACACTGATAAAACTTTTATAGTATTGCCTAAAACACACACACACACACACCTCTGGTTCTCCTGTGTCATGATTGGTCTGAATGAGGATCTTTCCAAGTCTGATGTCTTTACACACAGCCATCAGAGCCTGCTCCATGGTCTCTCCCGCCCTCAGGATAGAAACACCCGTTATCTGGAAAAACAGACATTTTTGTGAGGTTTATTAGAGCGATGCAGCTTATCTGGACCAGAAAACACTAAAAGGTTTAAAATTTATGTGCACTTAAACCTTCGGCTCCTCCAGATCTTTACATATGTGCAAAATTATCATCTTAAGTTAAATGTCCTCTTATTATAGTAACTGTTAATGTCATCTTAAAGGACTTACTCTGTTACCGCACAGCCTCTTCCCCTCATAGATGCTACCCTGTGGCGTTTCCACAGACACTGACTGCAGAGGAGGAGAAAGAGCCAAGAGGAACAAAAGGAAATTAAAGGCTGAAGTAAAACAATCTTAGCAAAATCCCAAAACGTTGAATCTGTTCATCTGGACGTAGCATTTTCAGTGGGAGAAACATTTCGTCAATCAGTCTGAAAACGCGACGTCCAGATGAATGGATTCAACCTAGCTGGATGACTGAGCAAGCATCAAGACAAATCTTGGCAAGAGTTGATGCTGCTACTATTGAAAATGTTATTAGTAGACTTCCTGTTCAGAACAGAAACGCCAACCTGCTACGGAGCATAAGCAACAGTAGAAAAAAATGTGCTCTACAGCAGCGGTCCCCAACCTTTTTTGCGCCACGGACCGGTTTATGCCCGACAATATTTTCATGGACCGGCCTTTAAGGTGTCGCGGATAAATACAACAAAATAAAACTAGTACCGGTACTGAAAAAAAAGAAAATTTATTCATAACACACGTGAAAAGACCCAGGAAAACCGAGTAAACGATAAAAACGATAACAAAATAACGCTGAAAACCGATAAAAACCCTGAAAACTATACAGTTCACACCTGAGCCTCAACTCTCGCGGCCTGGTACCAAACGATTCATGGACCGGTACCGGTCCGAGGCCCGGGGGTTGGGGACCGCTGCTCTACAGGAGTAAGAGCAGGAGTTCAGTTAAAAATCTTCATGCAAAAACTCACCTTGAGAGGCAGGAAGGAGAGGGCATGCTCTATCAGGAGCCTCATTAATCTCTTGGAGTAGAAGATAAACTCATCTCGGTTAGTTTCCCTGTTCCTACACAAACACAGACGGCAGATGCAAACAGGATGACCCTCTGCTTTTTTATATTTTTTAAAAAGAAAAGATTTTTTTATGGCCTAATAAAAAGTCAGCACCATTACACTAGCAAGCTCCTGTTTGATTATAATTTTTAAAGAAATAACTTTTAAATATTTTCTTCTCGTGATCCACATCCCAACTGCAGCGGCTCTATAGCTCAGAAAACTGTCACTATAGAAAGGTCCTGTCTCTTATTTTATTTTGAAGTGGTGCCCACAGTAGGCCTGTAAAAACGTGTAAAGTACAAGAGATGGTTTGGTTGCAAATCTGCAGCTTCACAGGTAGGTGTCTCTAAATCCTACTCACTGGCCAATTTTAACAAGACTTTGCTTGTGAAATGAGCGTATGAAAGAGTGTTCGTTCTGACCTGATTATGGTGTGCATGCCACGGACTTGTGGCGTGCTCTCCATCACGCTGAGGGTTTTGGGTAATGGCTGACCCTGGTGAGCTGAGGCCAGAGCCGATCTGCGGCAAACAAAACACATTCATGCATCCAAAGTAAGAGACGTGTCTACATTCATTCAACTAAATACTTTTACTGGATTTGCAGGTTAACTAATCAGAACCAATCAGTTCATTTTTCATCTCTTTTTTTATTATTCTGAAAGAAAATATTGAAAACAAACTAGTATTGTAGGTTCTGTAACAAATATTTCAAAATGCCAGGTATTGTACAGCTGCTCAAATATGTACTAATACAAATGTAACCTAAAATCATTTCATTAATTCAGGAATTGATTTAATTTGTACTTATTTGTTTTTTTTATATTTAAGTGACATCTAATAATCATCCAGCATAGTGATGTAATCAGTCAGCTGACCGATGAGCCAGAGCTACCCTGATGTAAACAGAAAGGCTTCAATAGATGCACATCAGTTCTCATATCTGCTGTTTAAAAAAGGTTCAAGAGTCATTTTCATTAACTGCCTTGAAATATCAAATCTGTAATCAATGAGCAACTTTTTACACCAATAATCACAAAATCACACGACACAGAACGATGCTCAAAGAGGTTATATTAAGAAGCTGCAAACATCTTAAGTCCTACCACTACAGAGAGTGCACTGCTTACAAACACCAACGACCAAACGCTCTGCAAAGCAGACATTTTAAGGTTAACTGATGAGGGGCCGGTTTCACAAAGATAAGCAGAGTTTCCTTTTTTAAATAAATTAGCCAAGGCGTCCATCCATCTCACCAGTCTGTGTAGATATTAACTGCTATAATCAGGACTAATGTCAGTGGCACTGCTTCCTACACGAACGATAAACATGTAGAGCGGGCGGCTCTACGGGATTACAGCGTTTGGCCACCCCAGCATAAGCATGAGGCATCTTTGTGTAACTCGCCCCACATTACACGGTTTAACAAGCCTTTTTGATTTTAAAGCAAAAGTCGAGAAAGAAGCTGATTCTGTGTGTCAGCTGCCAGACTTTTAGAAACACAGCATTAAAAGCCTTGCTTTATTTAAATCAGTGTTCCCCCTCAGACACTTCAGGAATCGACAGCATCGCTCTGAGGGGCAAATTCAGAGTGCAAAAGTACATGTCAATAAATGAAGGACTTGATCCTGCCCTGGCTTTTCACCTGATGTAGAGTCTTTAGATTTAGAAACTGTGGACTCTTCAACTCTATTGCTCCATTGTTCGTGGCACTGGAAGCTTTCTTAAATCTAGCAAGGCTTTTGTTCTCAGAACGTTTTGATCATAATGCCAGATAAAAGTTTGCACTTAAATAAATCAATGCGTGCCATGACCTTGAGGCCACAAACAGAAAAACAATAAAAGCAATCATGAAAAAATTAAAAATTTGGCATATGTGGCGCATACCGTTTCAAACACATGCTACTTAGAATACTAAAGAGCAATGAAACTATTCTGCTTCATGCACACTCTGCTGTTGATAAATACAGCATGCTTTGTTTTAATTGTGCACAGCTTAGATTAATGGATTTGTGGAATCAAACCCAGCAAACGTGTCGGTTTAACTACAGTCAGAATATGTAGTGCATAGTTTAACAAGTTAAAAAGGCTTGAGTGCATTAAATCTAAGACTACAAATCTGTATCTTTAAAGACTACAACAGTGAAAAAAGGTGCACGAGGTGAGGCTCACATATCCCAGCGCATCTTCCTCTGAAGAAGGTGACAGATATTTGTTTGGTGAGATTAAGTGTTTAAAGGTGAAGGCAGGAGGAAACACAGGGAGGAAAAAAAAAAAAAAAAAACACACACACACACAAAGGGACAAGAGGAGGAAAAAAACAAAACAGAGAAAGGAAGAGAGAGAAGAGTATTAGCAGTGAAACAGCTTCACCACATTGCTGCTGTACAACACCGAAAAAACACATTCCAGCTCTGCACTGAGGAGCACGCTCACTTCAATTTATCTCATGAGTGGGGTTCGCTTAAGGTGACTCAACTTCAGAAACTGGGATTAGTTTCAGTAAAAGCTGTGAGGGCAGCCGGAATTTCTCCACATTCAACAAATCCATCTAAGAGCTGACCTTAGATGTGCTGAACCATTTAACCCACTGAAACTTCAGCTGAAGTAGGCTTGCAAATTCATCTTCGTTCAAGGGTGAACTGAAGCTAAGAACTTCTACTTCTCAGCAGGTTTCATCTCACACATACAGGAGCACATGACCATCTGTGATCACACATAATTTAGGTCTCCACTCCAGCTTTTCTGCAAGTTTACAGCATCCTGTGGACACCAAAAACTGATCTTTCTCCTCTATCCTGCACCATAAAGTCTATTCTGTGCCTCTGGACCAAAACATGTCCCATTTCTTTTTTTTAAATGATGTGAACTGGCACAGGCTTCGCCGAGCTGGCTGCATGTTGTTGTGGTTAGGTGTGAACATGACCTGAGGAACTTCAGCAAACTAGCCAATCTATGTCTGAGAGAACCAAATCAGAATTTGCCTAAGTTCATAACCATGAAAAACAGGTTGTTGGTCCAGAATAGAAGACAGGACATAACGACTTGTCTTCTTCTGACCAATCACATTTGTGCTGGATGTGTTTGCATACAATTCATGTGGAGAGTAGAGACACATTTCTCAGTGATTTTGCTTTTCTCCTTTCTTTCTATTTTAAAATCTAAATATTTAAGCAGCTTAAATAAACAGTTCACAGAACAGGAAGTCTTGGCTCAGATAGATCCTGTTTCAATATTGTTTTATTTTCCAGACAGTATTACATAGTGGATAGCACCTGGCTCTACAAAAACACTCAAATATTGCCTGTTGTCCTGCATTAGCAGACTAGATGATAGTTTTCCAGATTGCTTCTGATCTTATTCACTACCAGGACAAAATGAAGGGAATTTCATTTTCTTTTTCAATTCTGGGATCTCTATGAGACTTTTACCTGAATAAATAAAAGATAACAAGTGTGAATAACTCATTCATTAACTTGTTATCACAATTTCTAAACTTAAACTATGATCAATGGTTTCCAGTGACTTACAGGAAACTATTAAACTCACTATTCAGGTCATATACCGTAGTTATATGACAGTACAAGAAATATTACACACAAAATGTGCCACTGGTCATGACGCTTTAAATGATGTTTAATGACATGTTTTTATTTTAATCCATGACTTGAAAAGTATAGGCTGATTAGGTGTTTTCACAATGAATACATTCAAATATTTCTGCTGAGTAAAACAAATAAAAGATTAAACAGAGACAGAGATGATAAAATCATTATAACCCTCTGACCATTATGAAATGAAATCAGGATGAAACAGAATTAAGTGAAAAGGCAGGTGAAGCACTGACATGTGTATGAGTCTGTAGTAAAAACAAAACAGTTTAGTCTTTGCAAATAAAAGAGTGAGGCATTCTTGAAAATGTAGTGGCATAAAAGAGCAGAAAAAAGATGACTCGGAGGATGTGGTAATAAAAAAAAAGCACCAACAATCGTACCTCACAGTGATCTCACGCTGGAATGGTTACACAGCATTCAGCCAGGAGAGGAGGGGTCGTGCACGTACAAGGAGACACACACACACACAGACACGTGTGTGCAAACAGCGAGAAACATAAGAAAAAAACAAAAAATGAGACAAGCGGCTTGTCAGAAAAAAAGGATCATTCACAACATAAACCTCTTCCCAAAAGAGAAACAAAAAATTCACAATACACAATAAATGTTTGCCTGTGGAGAGTCGTACATTTGAACAGACAAACACTTCAAGTGTGAACTTTAATTTCATGTTTGGCTGGACAAGAGTTTAACTGTCATATATCAGCTTTTTATGACCACTTCATTTTACTGTAGAAACAACAAGTGAAAACAAGCGAATTATTTCATGAGCTGTCAATTTTATATGACCAAGTGCGAAATAATGTAGTTTAAAACCACAGTCGTGTCAGAAGTACTGATTTAAAAATCTGCAACTTTCTGGATACACAGCACTATGCAAAGGTCTTGAGCCACCCTGTCCTTTATATATCAATGATTTAAAACACAAGCAAAGAATAGTGGTAATACAGTTCAGAAGGCAAAGAAGAGTTGGTATTCTTTCCTTGGCCAACAAAGGAAAGCGCATAATGCCAACGTTTGTACTTTCCATATAAATATAACCATGAATGTGTTTTTTAATTTAAAAAAGGCATATTTTAGTCATTTTAGTAAAGGCAAAGAGAAAAATATACATGCTGACCTGTGTGTGCCCGTCTATTTCTCATTATTACATACTGCACACACGCCTGTGAATGTGACAGATGCTGTGGGTGTTCCGGCAGCGACCATGACTGAATGTGCTGAAGGTGGAGCAGATCATTATTAGCGGTAGATCAAAAGGTGAGTGGATGACAGAACAATGAGGTGAGCTAAGATGAAGGACACGATCTTTCCTTAAAGGGTCATTAATTTAAGGTACCTACTTAAGACCTCTAACCACGAGGTGTAAAAGGGAAAAAAAGCATAAAAAGACGTCACAAATCTTCCTCCATCACTTCAAATGGCAAAAGGGAAAAGTGTCCAGGAATTTTACTTTCCTGATTTTTAGTACCCTTAATTACTTTTAGTACTATTTTATCATAAAGGCCACTGTCGCTTAACTTCATCCAAACTACTAAAGCAGAGGAGAAAAATATGACATCAGCTAATGTGCTCTACCATCAGACGGGAAAAATAGCAGCATGTGACATCGTGTTATTGTCCACAGCCCATCCTGTTCACCAGGTTTAAATTCCTGCAACTTCTTCCAATTTTTCAAAAGTTCAAGTCAAAAGTCTGCTGTGTTCGCACAACAGAGGCAATCCAGCACAGGACAAATGCACACCTGCAAGTGGTCAAGTGGTGTGTGTCACTACCATGAAGGTGCCAGCGTTCAAATTAAAGTGAAGTGTGTTTTTCATTTTCTTTTTTATAACAGGTGAAAAAAAGAAAAAAAAAAATCAAACTTCACCTTATTGTTTGTCCCAACTATGGACCTGACATGTCTGATGAATCTTAGATGTTGGGATGTTTTGGTAAATTTGCCTCCGTCTTTTATTTCTGTATCATTTCCCCCAAAATAAAAATAAATAAAGAATCTTTTGCAGTCAACGCCCCATAGGCCATGTTCACACTATTCCACACCAGCCAGCACCACACTTACTTTGAAAGGTTAAAAAAAGATTGTGCTGAAGTAATCATAAAGGCATTCCCACCTTAGAGTTTTTAGAAGAATATGTACCTACAGTGAAAGCCGGTCAGCAAAATATAAGAAGCTCTATCTAAACATGTAGGAATAGTTAATGCCAGCTTTAATACATTCCACCTGTCTGCAGAAACTACAGATCATAGTATCCTTTATAAGCCCATGCAATTAAAGCTGCAATTTTCCAAAGTAATCCCTCACATCCTCAAATGACAAAATCATAAACATTCCTTACCTTCTCCAGCTGACTGTGTACGTGCTGAACAATCAAATCCAAAGCTACAAAGTTCTCTCCACCTGCACATAAAAAACAAGCAACGTGTAAAGTGCTGATAGAGAAGAGCGCTCCTGTGCTTTTCTATGGTGAACTAAAAATACTGCCACTGACCTCTGGGAACCACAATGTCAGCAACCTGCACAGTGGGCTCAATGTACTGCTCAAAGGCTGGCTTTACAAATTTATTGTACTGTTTGATGATGCCGCTGATGTCCCGTCCACGTTGTGATATGTCCCTCTTCAGCCTCCGTATGAGGCGGATGTCTGAATCTGTATCTACGAACACCTTCATGTCCAGAAGCTGGCAGACAAAAGCCAAAAGGAGGAATCACTCATCGACCTGTAACATTTTTATATGCGCAGTTTTTTGCTTTTGCTGCATTTATTTGATCATTTTATAGTGATTTCATGTTTCTGTATATGTATATACATATTACACACAATGACTATCATTATTGACATTAGGATATTTTTGTAACTCTTTATGGGGTCAATACATTTAAGGTGCTGGCCCCATAAAGGCACCACCAGTTCAGGTTTTATATCAATACTAGTAGCAGGCTTTTCCTGCAAAGTTTTTGGGTATCCTTAAAGTTTAAGCACCTGTGCCCCATTTACTACAGTAAGCTGCAAGTTCTCCTTGATTTGCAAAAGTATCGATAACAGCATCCACACACCCACATACATTAACAAGACGCTCCATCAATGGTCCAGTACTTTTTTTTTAAATTGCTGGCAGCGGACATATTTATATCCTCTAATAGCATCTGTTAACATATGTCCGCCCCTAGGATTCTGTTATTGTGGCCATTTCCCTGTAAATAATGGTTATTCGGGCTGAGTACATAAAACTTTGGAGTTTATGTGAACAGGCTGAATCCCATTCAAAGGCATCTCTTTTTGCGCTACACATACTTTACTTATGCAGAGTACTGTTGGATCCACTGAGGTCACTTCTCTAAGGTGAAATATGTTGCAACTTGACTCTATATCTGTATATCTTGACTGTATGTCAAGAAACTTTGACATATAGACTGAAGGAGCTAAGAATCATACCACAAACCTTCCTCATCATCAATGACCTCCTGATCCACAGTTGCCCCTGAAATGTAGCTCTGGTGTGTGTATGTGCTTTTAATTAGAAACTCTGGTGATAAACTAGTGGCTGTAGTGCAGGACACTGCAGTCATTTATGTTTGAAGAGTTCTCTGTAGGCCAAAACAAAGTTTCCGTTCATAGAATTTCTGAAGACGATGAATGAAAGATGTTTTATTCATTATTTTACTGATAGCCTTAGATTACTGTCTGAGCATGAGTAAAAATGACAGAAACAACTCCTGAGAGCTGCATATTTATTTTTTTAAAAGCCTGAACGCTTCTAACAAATGTCACTACCCATCAGTTAGGGAGTGTTTTATTCATTATTTTACTGATAGCCTTAGATTACTGTCTGAGCATGAGTAAAAATGACAGAAACAACTCCTGAGAGCTGCATATTTATTTTTTTAAAAGCCTGAACGCTTCTAACAAATGTCACTACCCATCAGTTAGGGAGTGTTTTATATTCCCAGCTCTCTGCAGTAAACACTTGATCTTGATATAGTCAGAATTTAAAGTGGGACATTAAATGTCCCGTTTCCATTTTTTATCCTTATATGCGACTAAAATAACATAACACGACTCTCAGTGAAAAATATTATTAATAGTATTTTTTATCTTGCACAAGAAGGATAAATGTATTAAAGAAGAAGAGGAAGTAAAGAGCACAAATTGCACAGACTTCATTTTTCAGTCTCAATAAAGTCAGTGTCCGTGAAAAGGCACTTTGAGCTGCTTCAATGATTTGACATTTTTACATCGGAAGCTTGACGCTGGGGTCGGGACATGCTGAAGAATCTGAGGAAACACCAGTTATCATTGCAGCTTCAAAGAGAAAGTCAGCCCCGATGCACCAACTAAGCTCCACTAAACTGAACCTCAATTCAGCAAAGCCAGAAGACAGAAGACAAAAATCAATGGGGCAGCATCACAACAAAGGTGGGACAACAAGGAGGCAACACAAAGAACTATAGATGACTTTTGAAATTAAAAGAAGTCTGTGTGTGATTTAGAGGAGGACGGCAGTGGGAGCGCAGTTATAACTCAGTTGCACAAAAAGCCACTGGCTGGCAGTTCAGGCTGCTGTAAATCTGACAGACTGACCAACCAAAAAGGTGGCAGGTTGCTGGATAAGCAGTGCTGTCAGCTTGGAGCAGGTGAATGAAGAGTGGCCTGATCCCAAAGGTTAGACAGCAAGGCTGTGGCTCTAGATCATTTCCTAACCTAGGAAAGCTCCCAGTTTTCTTTTGCCAAAGTGATGAGGCTGGAAAATTGGAAAGTTTTCCTTTGATGCAGCTACAAGCCTTGAATGTGCAATGAGCAATGAACACCAGGGAAATTTGTGGATTCGTTGATGACATTTATGATATAGTAAAGAAAAGGTGGAAATTTGTGGATTTTTTTGGTTTAAGTACAAGTGCAGGATTACACAACATATCATACAAACAATATTGCTGGTGGGTTCAGGACTGGGCATGAATACAACTGAAAAATGAAAAGCTATATCTGTATCAGGAACAATACACAAAATCTTTTGCTCTACACTTACTATTGTTCAATCCAAACAAAAAAATAATCTCAAACAATTTTTTTTTAAATTAAATCTGCACATTTTTCTACTGGAAATATGCCTAAAAATGAAAAACCAAAGAAAAAACACCACTGGCTCGGTGTCCAACGCTGTCTATGCAGATGGTTTGTGCCAGCACTGCTTTGACTTCAGGAACTACTTCTTTTGTTTTTAGCACGGACAGGTCAGATGTCATTTTAAAGACCATTTGATGTCCATTCTCACATAAGATGGTCTTAATGGTACCACGTGCACCTACTTTGTGTATTATGTATTGTAAGACGAAACCTTGAGCCAAAAACCAAAACAAGAACAGCTACAGAGCAGAATTTGGCACAACTGAAGTTTTATTTTGATTGGCTTCTAATTGTTTGAAAATTAAATTCTTTAAGATTTATTTTGTCTCATGTGACAAATGCATTACTGCAGCCACTGTTTGTGTTTGACAGGATAGAAAGATAAGGACTCCAAGTTAATTCAACTTGATTTTAAATAAAATATAAAATAATATGGAAGGCACGTGTGTATTATCCAAGAAAATCATTTGAATGAACCCTTCACTGATGTAGTGAATCAAATAATATTTTTCTGTGCTAGTAGTGTTTTATTAAGCCTAAATAAATGAACGGGGGAAGCGAGATGGAAAAGATCTATTATAAAACATATGCAAATTTAATCTGCAAAAACAGCTACTGACATTTAGAAAATACATATATCAATCATGATTCAAATTCAGATCAACAACATACAGACAAAAACATGACATCTTTAGAAAATCCAATGAATAAATTATCTGAAAAACAAGCAGCTTCATCACAATAACTGAAAATTCCTCCTACTATGAAGCAGTCTTCCATAATGATCTGCAACACTGACCACAATGGTTTGATAGCGTGAGAGAAGCACCAAATCCTATTATTAACCATGTCCTTTTGCAACCTCTTGGTTTCTTAAAGGAAACCTCTTTATTAGCATATCGGATCTGCAGCTGTAATTGAATTCAATTACAAGAATGGACAAAAAACACCATTGATCACATGAGACGCTGACTGCTATTAACTTAATCAGATGGTAATCAGCTACACAGCCGGGTCTCAGGAGAGGCTGCCTGTCTTATCATCACAGTCCAGCTCTCCTGCTCTCTCACACTCACTCATACACAATAGAAGAGGCTGGAGAGAGCGACTGCAGGACTGATTAGCAATGAAGAATGCCTCTTTTTATAAGTGTTTATTCCCTCTGACCCTCAAGAGCATTGCAATGATGGCAATGTCTCCTTAGCCTCCTAGCACTAGTCTTCTCTACACATCCATAAAAATGGATGTAAATATCAGCTTTAGGAGCCTAAAAAGCAAACTTTTCAAATAAAGCTTAATTTGAGTCAATTTCTGCATCACATCTTATTTTTATAGTCCAGATAAATATACACACACCCTCCTACCAGCACATCACCCCTGTTCTTCAGGAACTTCACTGGCTCCCTGTGAAATTCTGGATAATATAAAAACTTCTTCTGCTCACCTTCAAGGCCATTCATAACCTCGCACCTCCTTAACCTTTCTGACTTGTTAAGCACCACCTTTTCTGCCCGCTCACTTCAATATTCTTCTATCCAGCTTGCTGTGCCTTCCTTCTGCCTCACCACCATGGGAAGCAGAGCTTTTAGCTGCTCTGCTCCCAGGCTGTGGAACGCTCGACCCCCAGATATAAGGAACACTGGTCCTTTCCCATAGTTTAAATCTCAACTCAAAACCCATCTGTTCAAATCTGCATATTCACTGTGAACCCACTGTTTGTTAATTTTATCTTGTGCTTTTGTTTTATTGTTCTTCATTTTGTCATTTTTCCATTATGTGTTTTATCCTATTGTAAAGTGTCCTTGGGTGTCTTGAAAGGTGCTTTATAAATAAAATTTATAACCATTATTATTATTATGACATAAATATGAATATACACTCAACTTCTTGTTAACACTAACCAGCCAATCACATCTCAACAACTCATTTTAGCATCAACAACGAGCTGAAGTTCAATCCAAGCATCACAGGTGATTTAAGTGATGTGGTATGTGGCTGTTGGTGCCTCAGACACGCACATTTGAAATATTCTAAGGAAGAAAAATGTAAAAGAAAAGTAAAACAGAGTGGAGGGGATACTGATATTCTTACCTTGAGCAGCTCCTTGTTGGCGAAGGCTAGGATTCCCTCAAAGATGACAACATTAGCACCATACACAGTTTTCTGTAAGAGGACAAATTTAAGGACAGGTTCACATTTTTCCCCCCACTTGAAGCTGCACTTGCAGTGTGTTCATGTTGATTGTACTGGTGAACACAATGTTTCTTAGGTTATTAGTTACAAAGGGATAGGGGTCAAAATCCTCCAACCCCGCACTGTGTGGACACCTTGAACTAAGTGGTTCATTAACTAAAAATAATTTCAGTGTCATAAGTGAGGATATGAAAATTATTCACAATTAATGAGCTACAACGAGTGTGAAATTAAACATTTATGATACAATACGGATGCGTTTTAATTAAGAAAAAATACACTTGAAGGTCAGAAAAAAGTTGTTTCCTTTTTTTTTTACCCAAATATATTTTTAAAGTATTCATTCTTCATGCTGGTCATTTAATGTCCTTTTACTTTGAAACACAAAAATAAATCGAATGTTTTGTTTATACAGTTAAATTTAAGCTGTTAACTATGGATCGAAGAGAATTAGAGATGTCTGTAAAATAGTCTTCTTCCACACAAATTGAAATAATCCACCTTTACTTTTTGTTTTGGTTATCCAATTCAGAGTCAGAGGGTGAGAGTCAGGGTACAAACAATAAAATAAAAAGAAATATATGAAGAATCTATGCGATATTTTACATTTCAAGGCACATGAGTTCTGGTTTAATCCAAGTTCAAAAACACAAACAGCACCACTGTAAGTTGCAAAATTGTCCTCCAAACTATTTGTGATATCACAAAAACCCAAACATCTGGCCACATCTTGGACTGTGACTTAAAAAAAACTTAAAAAAAAAAAAGCCTGCATCTACTTGATTCTGTCAAATTGTCCTGGTCACATACAGCACTGGGAACAATAAGTTTAAACTTGTGGGTTGTCTGTGTTTTCTTTGTGAAACTATGACTTGCCAGATGCACAAGCCTGGACAGCACACTGCTGAAATCTGTGACATATGCAAATCTGGTCTCCTGCTCTCAGACATGAAACACTCTGCTTTCAGATAAACATGATTCCTGCATTAACTCAACGTAAACCAAAGAAAACTATGAGACTTAAGCAGTTATTTTTTCTTTTTAAATTAAAGGAAACACAATATCCTTGGTAAGGTGCAATAAATGAGATAAAAGACACTGCCCAAGATAACACAAATCTACTGTATATAAGATGAAAGCATAAAACACATTTACAGATGATTTTTATTTGCCTTCAGACTTTTACAGATGTCAGTTAAACACTGTCACTTGCATGTGTGTGCATGACATACAGCCACTGACGCACAAACACAACCTCAACCCATGTTTGCTTTACTAACTTATCTGATGAAACTCACCCAGAACCAGTTTTACTACCAGGCGTTTGAGAAAGAGGTTAATAACCGATTCAATCGCAGACAAAATGGTGCAGAGTATGTCACAATCCTATTACCTTTCCACGACCAGCTTCATGCTGAAGTCAATAGGCTGAACACTTTGCTATTGATTTTGAGAAAGAGCAGCGAGAGAGGCAGAGGCAGTGTGCACAGTTTGAAAGAAAGTGAACTTTAAACAAACAGATGAGTGTTTATTGATTTATTCATTTCCTCCTTCTTTACTAAGAGATGATTTAGTGGCTCTTTAAAATACTTACGTGCCAGTGCTTGAAAGAAAGAAAGAGAGAGAGAGAGGGAATGTGACCTAAAGTTTTACCAAAGAAGAAAAACTAAGTTGCTCGCTCTTGTCCATCTGTATTACTGCTTTATAAACACAGCCTGCAGCTTGATGGCCCTCGGCACCCTTGAGGCCTGAGTCTTAATTACATCCTCCCCGTTACAAAAGGCCCATAAAATGATCTCAGATCTGAGGCGATTTCCCATGTGGTGTTGTGGCTTTCAGCCATGAAATTACATCGCAGAAAAATAGACAGTGAGCTATGCCGCCTGATTGATTCCTCACAATGCCTCTGGGAGGAGATGCTGGGCTTAATGTACTGTACCCTAAAATCCTTAATAATTAGCAAATTAGCAAGCATCTGAATTTTCACCAGCTTAAATAACTGAAGCATCCCCGGAGGTGTTAGGTGATTTGTAGCTGTAATGTTCATTTTTCTCCTCTCAAGTGTTCAGTGCTTTTATTTCAATGAAGACAGACTACACTAAACTAACCGAACTCAAGTGAGTGGAAAACTGCTTCTCTTCTCACGACTTTGACACATTTGGGAATATTCTAATAATACACATTTTTATCAAGTCATCAGCTTCAGTAGCTGAAATAGCTCACAAGTTAGTTTAAAGCAACAACGCCACTGAAAACTACTCCTCTATGTGGAGTAAGGCAGGGACTAGTAGGTGGTTTATGGGAGCAGACCAAGTGTTTCTATGTCTTCCCACTGTAGAAACCTCGCTGGTGTCTCATGCTTAGGCATAACTGATGACTCTGTTCTGGTCAGAGTTTGCACCAATGACATGAAAGTCACAAATGAAGTTTTTTTTTTTTTCTTCCTGTCAACATCGTGTTTTCACATTAAAGGAAGCATAGGAGGGTTTTTTATGGAAAAACAACAGAAAGGTTCAGAATTCAATAGAAGTTCACTTGCATCTGAGACCTCTGGAAAAATAGTCACTGTCGAATATATTTAGGAGCACATTTGCAAATATCAAATATAACATATTCAGCCTAAACTGTTTTTTAAAAGGCTGAGTGAGGATGTCTATGACACACACAGGCTGCAAATACACGATGTCCCCACCCAGACAGTAAACCCACACTGGGAGGAAGAGAAGCTGAAAACAGCAGCGCCTTTTATTGTGATTGCCATGAAAACCTTTGCACCTAAAAAGCCAATAAGAGACAGTGGGGGGAAAAACATTAAACTGGACATTGCCTGCTGGCAGTGGGCATCCTAAAAACTGAGAGGGAACAACAACATTAAGAACCACTTTAAAAAAAAAAAAAGCACAGCAGAAACAAGACCAAGAACAGCAGCGCAAAAATGAAAAGAGCTCAAAACTAAGTCAGAAATTGATCTATATGGTGGGCGGGCTTTTGGACTTTGAAGATTAAGTTCAAGGAGATTTTTTTTATTTGATTTTATTGATTAGCATTCAAATATCTCAGAGATCTAATGTCAAAGACTGTGAGTGAAGAGAGGAAGTGGTGCTGAGAACAAAGCAGTGAATGTGAATACTCTCTGTCTGTCTCACAGGTAGCTGAGATATCAGGTTTAACATTTATACAGTCCTGCATGTCAAAACAGCTGATCCTTCATCAGTAGACCAGCATCCCTAATCTTTGTGTAAACAAACAAACAGCAGCCTGAAGGACCTTTTAGTTCCTGGGAAAAATGTTCCTGAGACAAGCACTCCTGGGGGCTTTGGATAGGAGACGTCTGCAGATGACTAGCCAAGACCAACCAAGCAAAGTTATGGGAAAAACATCTTCTGTTATGCTTTACGAGTGTAATCATCAATTACACTTAATCTGTTTCATGAGGACTTTGTGGATGGGATTTGATCACATGACTGACTGAAATTTGCAAAGTGTTCACAACAAAAAGCAGATTATTCTCAACTGAACCCTCCCCACTTTAAACCAGAGTACAGAGCACAATGTGACGAATTAAAACACAGAGGTAAACCAACCAAAGCTGTAAAACCTCTGGAGGAAAGTTTGTGTTAAAAATGCAAATGACAGTAAAAATGGTGCTCCGATTGGGGGAAGGTTTCAGTTTCAATCACGAAACTGAAATTTTCAATCACGACCCAACACAGTGTTAAAGTTAATCAGAGGGTCTCACCCATTCTTTGCGTCTGGAGTGAGTGGTGAAGTCATAAACTGGCACTTTGATGCTTTTTCCCTTCTTCAGCTTTCTCAGGATGTTGACCAGCAGCTCAAAGTCGAAGGCATCGGGGTGATCGAAGTTGTACTCATTTTTAGCTGCCAGCTCCTGCTCTTCTTTATTCAACACCTGAATGACAAAGAGATATAAAGAAGAAAGGAAATTCACACACTGCAAACCAAGTGAGCCCTTTGGTTTCAGGTATTTCAGGTGCCTGAGATGGATTTTACCGGCCAGTTTGCATTATCTGTTTTCTTGGAAAAAAAAATCTGAGAGATGACAGATATCCAGTCACAGAGGGCTAAGCAGTACAATTTATATTTTCAGCAAGACTCTTTTCAAATCAAAAAGCTCATTACTTATTGTGGCTTAAATACAGTATGTGAAATAATAGTGTGTCTTGACTGCAGCACTAAAGCTGCTAATGAGCTAAAATGCTATTAATCACAGTACTTATTTACACTTCAGTGCTTTCAGCTGCTTTTTGTACCTTGTAGAAAGAGTCCATTGAAAGCAGAACCACCCAGGGGACATCCAGCGCCTCAATTATCTTATTGGCTACTGTAGTTTTCCCAGAGGCACTTCCTCCACACAGACCTGAAAACGATGGAAAGAGAGAATCACAACACTATTACTGATGGATAACGACAATCTGCTCGACTAGTACAGAAACGTTAGTCTGTTATATTAGAAGCAGACAGCAAAGCTTTCACTGGATACTTTTCTTTAAGTCAAAAGTCCAACACAATTCTTTTGATAATAATTTTACTTCTCATAATTTCTTCCACCACTTCTCTGAGGTGCATGAAAAGGAATAAATGAAATACTTGGAATTAACAATGACTGCAGCATGAAAGGCACCCAGGAAAACTCATGCAGAAACATTTTATTCAACATCTTGATATCAAGGACAGCAGGAGTAAAAACGCAGGACATCCCTCTAATAAATTAGCACCTCAGTCTATTATATGAATGTCAGTCACAGTTATGCAGTTTTATCTAAAAGGCAAAAAAGTCATGTCATTCATAATTAGGGAGACTTATCTCAGACACTACTGGGTCAGTTTGACTAATGGAAAGATGTGTTTTAAAATATCCTTCAATCCTTGAAGGCCACTGACAGTAACGCTGTGCAGAATAATTAGGAAGTCAGAATTTCACAGTTAAAATTACTTGCTTGATTTCCCACTTGGAAAGCCTCAGCAACCCCGTGTGCCCCGCAATCCAAGTTGGCGACACTGAACACAAACAGTAATACAACTGTAACACTTTTAATCTGCAGTGCCACTGTTATGTATTTGTGACTCACTAAATAAGCCACAACCTCCTGAGAACCGAGGAAAAACATTTTTCTGTTTAACTTTCTTGGTCCACTACAGACATAATGATTGGCTGGGACTCCGAGCACTGACCGAGCTCTATCCATGAATGCGCTGTGGTGGTGTTTTTAAGAACAAAACGAGTATAAAAACATTTATGTATATTGTTAGTGATACCTGGATCTACCTTGCTAAGAACCAACACAAATCCTGTTTTCTGTGCTTTTTCTGGAAAACGGTAACACACTGGAGTGACATCACTCCTGTGTTCCAACATCCAAGTTTGGAGATAAATGTTACGACGTCAGCTAAAGATAATCCTAATCCAGTACTTTTTTTTAATTGTTATGGGACAACAGACTGCAATGTTCCTGACCTTACTGGTACACTGCTTCTGTTTCCGATTCATTTTCTGTTTTCCTGGCACATAAACAGAGCGTTCTCTTTACAACTTTGGACACACCGTGCAGATTATGACCCAGGTGATCATGTCTGACAATCATCCCAATCATCTATTTATCACTGCTTTCAAGTTAAAAATCGCCAGACCGATAGATTTTTGTTGCATTTAAAAAAAAGCAGAAAATACTATTTTGTTCATTAAACAGCTGAAAACCACAGGAAAATGCACAGATTTCTATTAAGCGACTATATGAAGACTAATCATTCTTATATGTAGTCACCACAGCATTCTGACCCAGAAAAAAACCACGAGACAAGTGTTTATGCAATAAGTTTAACTGTACGGTTGGTATTCTCAAGCTCTTTTCAAGCCTAACATATGTTGAATGAACTGTTTGACACAGATGTCCACATGCTCCATTATTAAAACTGTTACACTTCTGTTACACATGTTATCTTTTCTCTGACTGCTCTGATTGCTATCAGCAAATGTCCCCTGACCACATTATACAGTTCTATTCAAATTATCTGTGAAACGACACCAAAACATAAATGCAAAATCAAAATGTATTCAATATCAAGAATTAACCTGACTGCAGCTGCCTTAATAACTGCTGTCACTATTTATTTAATAGCTGATTGGTTTTTTCATTAATCACTGACACATTCAGCTGTCAGATGCCGACAGGTGGTGAGATAAAAGCATAAAATCAATTATCAAAATTAGAGCTCTTACTGACCCATTACAGTGGCGTAATAATGGCTTTACGTATTTGGGTATACAAATTGGTTAATCCGAGGATCAAATGTTCAAACCAAATTATATCAAACTGTTGGAGCAAACCAAACTTAATATTCAGAGATGGATGGATTTTCCATTATCTCTCATAGGGAGAATTAATGTTATTAAAATGAACACTTTGCCTAAGTTCATTTACTTATTTCAATGTCTCCCTACAAATGTTCCTAGAAGTTTCTTCAAAGAGCTTAATAAACTTATAACTTCTTTCATATGGCAAAAGAAAAATCCAAGAGTCAAACTCTCCTCCCTACAGGCCCCATAATCAAGGGGAGGACTTAGTTTACCAAACTTTAGGAACTATTATCTTGCCTCCCAGTATCGATCAATTTGGATCTGGCTACATGCAGAGAGGAGTGAGGTTCGATGGGTTCCAACAGAACAACATGAGGTGAACCCCATACTATTAAAAGATGTTCTATTTTTAGGTACAAAAAAATGTCTATCCAGGCTCACAAACAATTTGATAATATTAACCACCTTCTGCGCCTGGCAGGAATCCCACTCACTTCTGAAAATAAATATCTCTTTTCTTAGAAGGACACCCCTATGTGGCAACCCTGATCTCTCTCATCATATTGCTGACCCAATATTGCAGGGATGGAAGGACGGAAATATTTGAACTGTTGCCGACTTATACAATAATGATACATTTATTGACTTTCAACAACTAAAGGAAAAATTCAAACTTCCAGGACAAAGTTTCTTCAAATTTCTACAAATAAGAGAGTGGGTCAAAGAGAAATCCAACGGGTTATTCCCCGAGATACCAAAAGAAACTCCTCTTGAAACGCATCTTTGCACCAAACCATGGAAGTCAATAAAAGGAATAGCATCATCTATATATGCTATTATCAATGAAAAGTTACCTGACCATAACAAAGCGTCTATAAAAAGAAAATGGGAGACAGACCTGGGCCATGTCTATGAAGAGGTAGAATGGCACCATTTATTGGAACAGGCACAGACCATGTTAATTTCTACAAATCACAGGCAAATGCAATTTAATATATTTCATAGGATATATTACACCCCTTATAGGTTACATAAAATTGATAATAATTATTCCCCCAAATGTTTGAGATGTAAGGTAACAGATGGTAATCTCCTGCACATGCTGTGGAATTGCCCAGTGAAGAGGTCTGGAGACAGGCCATTGAAATAATCTCAAGGGTAATGGGGATCCAAATTGAACTGGACCCAAAACTATGGATTCTAGGTGACACAGGTTCTATCAATGTGAATTACCATAACAAATATTTTATTTTACTTGCGAGTACTGCAGTGAAAAAATGTATTCTGCTACATTGGAAATCTGAAAATTCTTCAACATTGAGACACTAGATTAATGAGCTAGCGTCCTACTGCACAGCTGAGAAGATATTGCATGGTGTAAAAGGGAAATATGGAACCTTTGAAAAAATTTGGGGGCCCTTCCTGGCAGTACTACCGTCTTTGGACCTAATAGATCATAGAGATGACGCAAATCCCCCTGGGTCTGCCTTGATTTGATCAAGGCCTTCCTGACTCGATTTCCTGAATGCTGCAGTTTTATCGTGGGGGATGTTGATTCCTGTGCATGAGAGTTTCTATAGATAGGTGTAAATATGGGCTGTCTGGATACACGAATGTGATGAGGTTGAGAGCCATACAGGGGTAAAGGGGTGGGGGGATGGTGGGAGGGGTTCACATGATGTGTTTTCTGTTTTCTGTTTTGCTCCCTTTTTCTCCTGAGTTCTTTTTTGTTTGTTTGTTTGTTTTTAAAATTATGTAATTATCAATGTTGTTATGTTATTATTATTATTATTATTATTATTATGCCTGTATTTTCTGTGTTTGGTTTTCAGATGTCTGAGGTTATCCTTGAAAGGCATAGATACAAGAGTGTGCACCTGGGAGTGCTTCTGTGGTCACAATGGCCTGCCATGTTGTGGTTATTTGTTGATACTTGCTCTGTCCCATAGTTGTGAGTTTTTTGTTTGTTTGTTTTTTGCTTTGTTTGTTTGTTTTTGTTTGTTTTCCAATTTAAAAATGAAAAAATAAAGCTTAGGGGGGAAAAAAACGTGTCCTTTCTGCTTCACATTTAGCCATCATCTGGATGTGAGGTTAAAAAATACTGAACGTGATGGCGATGAACAAAAATCATGCAACACGCTTTATGCTTAAGAGTGCAGAAAAATCTGTGAACGCAAACATATTTTGAGCTGAGAGACAAAAAAGAAAACATGAAACCAATGGGACAGATGTCTAAAATAAAAGTCAATCCCTGCCTCACCTCCCTCGACCTCCTGGGTTAAAGACCAAGACAGCAATCTTTCAGGAAAACAATCCTGGGAACGGGGCCAGAACACCCTGTTGGCTGGCAGGAGCGGGTGAAAAGCAGGATGAATTTGCTGTTGTGTCTTTGTTGGTGCATGTGTGTGTGTGTGTGTGTGTGCACACAGGAACAGAAATAGCCTACAGAGCTGCTTCAACGACATAAACAACTCTTGGTGACGTGTTGAAATGGGTTTTTTTTTTTTTGCCCTGATAAGACTCATCGGGGTCGAAACTGCTGACTAGGAAACCGGTCAAAGAACACTGTGGGGCTGCTTATTTCCCGATTACAGCTCTGAAGATGTTCTAGAAATACTAGCTAATCCAAAGTATCACAAGCTCCTGCATAGACAAGAAATTCTCAGCACGTCACCCAGCAGCAAAGCCTAGCCACTGGAAAATCCTGTTAAAACAGATAAAACTGCTTTTTCTATAAGCAATAAACCCAGACTGTAGAGACAGCAGCCACCTTTGATACCTATGAGGCTTTACAATGTTTTTCTGCCATTCACTTTTGCTTCCATCCCTAAATCCATCTGTTCCTGCAACCCCAGTACTTTATATTCTCCATTGTTTCTTGGGACCAGATCAGCACAGTCCCCCTTATGTTACACAGACTGCTCCTTTAAATTGGGGGCCACGGTACAGTCGAGTGTGAAATTGTAACCAGTCATTGCGCGCCATTGACGGTAACAGATTGCCAACTAAAGATAATGTCCACCTCTCCCTCCACCTATCACCAGTCATGCCAGTCTGATGCATTTAACCACGGTACGCTGGCTCTGCGGCTGTTAAACGTGCACAGGCACACACAGGTTTAGTGTCTCTGTCACGCTCATTTTACTGCTGCTGGGACTTGTCCCGATGCAGATATTTTACTGAGCTGATCAGCAAGATGGCAGCCTGCTGTAAATGCACACACAATGCACCCAGAGCCTGATGAAAATGTTAGATTTCAGTCTGAGAAAATGCAAAGCTGCTGCCCAAGATAACTGAAATGTCAGTTCATTTTGGTAAATAATTATTTGTTTTATCAAGTAACAAGACTAAGAACCAGCAGCCATGCAAACATCGCACTAGGGATGTATTTTGGCACAGCAGTGTTTAGACTTAAATGCCAACAAGATCTCACATATGCCTCCTTTCCACCAGCAGCGAGTGCTGAGCCAACTTTCCCTCAGTGGCTGTACAAAAAGAAAAGACGCCACATTATCGCGGGTCTGATAACCAAATACTTACACAGCATTACCTAGCATGAGTTAGGCAAATATTTCTGGGAATAAAACAAAGACTGACCAGAATCTGCTGACTGCATCTGTACAACACAGTTGCAAAAGCTTCTCCCAAATTCCAGTGACATCACTGGTTTTATTGATAGTGCGCCTGTTACAATTTTTTTTGGCAACTAAAACCAGTTTTTTCTTTTGTGTGTGTGTGTGTGTGTGTGTGGGTGGGGGGGGGCTCTACATTCAACAACAGCACCATGGTGGTCAAAAATAATAATATGATTCTGTCCCCAGGTATAATGTTCATTTTAATGCACTAGCTACAGGAAGCGGACGAAAGCACCTGAGATTTTTAATCTGGAAAAACTCAGATAGCTATATTATTGATAGACTCTGGCATTCACTTCCTCCTCATCAGAATGCCAGGAGAATGCTTGGCATAATTTTAAACAATTTAAATGAAATAAGATGTTCTCTCACCTATAACGAAGGCTTCTTTGAAGGTTGTCCCAGTGACATTATACCAAGGTGGTCTGCCAGCAGTGTAGATCGTCCTTTTACTAGTCCTCAGCAGAGGAGGCTCTGTCTTGGACTGGCTTGTAGTCCGTTTTCGTGGCGATAGCGAAGGGGTCAAAGGACAGCGGGGGACATGGTTTGAGAGGCCATCCAAGGAATCGTCACCACTTCCACTGGGGTAAAAGAAAGGAAGGTAAGCGAGCAACATTTAACCCTTTTAACAGGTTTTTAATTAACAGGTGACATTAATGGGAAACTAGGATTCACATGTAAATAAGTATATATCACGCAATGTGTCCCTTGAAGGCTACACTGGACCGGTCCCCAGGCTGTGATGGGGCAGGACTTATAAAGAGACATGACAACCATTCATATTCACACCTACATCCAATTTAGAGTCACTAATGAATCTAAATATGATCTGATATAGGTGAGATTTACGCCATGGAAAAAACTGGACAGGGGTGGGTCCGTCACATCATATCACAGCAGCAATGCAGTTATGCAGCTTCAAATAACACCAACAGAAGACACATGTTTGGGCACCACAGGGCATTGTATTTTGAACACTCCTCTACATTTCAGGTGTGCGGCTTGACTTTCACCAAAAAACAGATTGTTTGCGTATTTTTAGGCAAGCAAAGAAACACTTGTGGGATGTTTCCAAAGTGCCGTGAGATCATTTAAAGTAATTTTTAGACTCATACTAAGGCTAAGTCCTCATGTTTGCCTGCTTTTTGAACAGTTTGTGTTTGCAGTATGCCATCAGAGATGCCTTGTTCGCTCATAGTGGACCCCCGCTGCTGCTCCAATACAGGCATTTTCATTTTTACAACATATCTGCAGGTTTATGACCGCCATTGTGTCAAAAGTAGCCTTTTTCTAACCAAAAGAAGCTCAAAGATGTGAAGCTATAAATGGGTATAAAAAGGGAAAACATTTAGCTAAATATATTCAAAATATTAACTCTTGGGAACCTGCAGATACACTGTTGTCCTGCAGAGAGAGAAGAGGGTCTCTGCTCACTCCGGAGACCCTCTATGAACTCTCCTCTTCACAGGGAAGCATCTGCTGTCGGTGTGGTTGAGGGGGAGGAAGGGGGAACTTGCCGGCCCTCCCCAGGAAATCACACCGCTGCCCTGGACACAGCATGACACTGGGTGGGGAGCCACCATTCACATGAGTAAGGCTGTCATCATTTGGCTGGACTTTATGGTTTACAAGTCACTACAGTTTGAACATGCAGTCAGTTTCTCAGATCGTATTTAGAACACTAAGAAAGCAAGTGTGAAAGCTTCACCACAAGGTTTCACTTCACTAACCAGTGGATGACCACCTACTGGCTATGTCCGTTTTTTATTTATAGTCTAATGCTGTAGCTCAATGGCAGAGAAGGTAGGCCATTAAATATTAACTTGTAAGCCTGCAGAAATAGGCAATAGGTTGCTTTTTGCAGAAGCAAAATATTATGCAAATGTAACACTTTTTAGGCTGATTTATGATTTTATGGATTTCCTTTTGGGGGGTTTTCCCGCTTCTGTGCTTCATGCACATCTTTGTCCCTGTAAAGATAGACACCTAACGTAGATAACTCGCTGACCTAATGTAAATACAAACTAAATGCAACTTTGTATTTTATTTACAATCAGTGCAGCCAAGTTAAAAGAACACCTTCACAGTAACCATCAATTTTTTGAGTGGTTGATATGCATCAAAGTATGCAAGGATCCAAGGTTTTTCATTGGTGCAGTGACATTTCAATGATTCAAAAACTCATGCATTTGTGCATAGATTTAACACCCAGCTGCACTACAGCTACACAGCCAGGTCACCAAGCTGCCAGACAGACACCTGATCCCCAGCACATCCTCAGTGCTACGTGTTATGAATAAGGGGGCGTTAGCAACAAAGCAACACTAGCTTCCGTTGTGATACCATATGGTCAGTGAACATCTAGAAACTGGTGGTAATTAACAAAAACCGACCCTGGTTAACAGTAGCCATTCCTAAAAATAAACATTTGAAATACACAATTTGAAAGTGAATATTTTTTTTAGATGTGATGGTTAATACGGCCGAATTTAATAGGCCGCACTGAAAAGCTGCCGAATACTTTTAAATGATGAATAAACGCTTTGTAAGTTGAAAACGTTCATAAAATCGTCATTTGTCGCATTAGTCTTGCATACAGAATGAGAGGATCTGTACAGATGCTTATGGAAAGAGACGAGGGAAGAAAGTGTTGATGTAACCACAGATAAAACCTCCATAGAATATTTTACGACCGGGCCCAGGTCTCTCTGTCCTCACTTAGGTGTTTTTTCGCTAATTCTCCCATGTTCTTTATTAAGCTTTTGTTCTCTGCACCCACGTCAAAACACAATGCGTGGGTTACACCGAGTGTGGCAGCTAGCTGGACTAGCTAGCTGCCAAGAGCAGTTTCCACCGCGGGGCTCGACAACACCCCCGCGTGCCACAACAGCCATATTTTATTCCTTCCTTTTTTACCTGTCTGACCTCGACATGGATCTATCCCCTTCCGTCCCTCCATCTGTCTGCGGCTCATCCGGTTTGCTGTCGCTGCTGGTTGCTGCCATGTCTGCTCAGTCAGCTCGGCGCGGCGCGGAAACCAAACACTGGGAGCGTCGTGACGTCAGCGTGCGTAAACTAAGATTGTGTTCAAGGTAATAGAAAAAAACCCGAAACTTTTTTCCAAAATTATTTCGAGGATAGTATAAAAGAAATACTATCTCCTGGTTTAAATTTAACAACAACAAAAAACACTAATAATGTATTTAAAGACTTCTATTTATTTTAGCTACTTCTATTAAGGGTTGCCACAGTGGATCATCTCCATCGCACCCTATTCTTAGCATCCTCCTCTCATGCCAACTCGCACCCGTTAATCTCCTCTGAGGTTTTCTGTCCGGTGTATTCATTATACATCCACTGCACATGCCCAAACCATCTGACCCTTTCCTTAACTTTGTCTCCAAACTGCTCATCCTGAACTGTCCCTCTTTCTAATCTTGTCCATTGTGGTTGCCCCCAATGAAAATGTTAGTACCTTCAATCTGCTCTCTCTCTTTTTGTCAGGATCCCCATCTCCAAGCCATACATCATAGTAGGTTTCATTGCCATCTTGTAAACGTTCCCTTTCTCTCTTGCTACTATCATTCTGTCACAAATAGCCCCTGACACTTGTTTCCACCTGTCCTACCCTACCTGCACTTTCTTCTTAACCTCTCTTGTGCACTGTCCATTTCTTTACATGGTTGACCCCAGGTGCTTAAACTCATCTACCTCCCCTACTCCTGCTTCTTGAAGCTTTGATGTTATAGCTGTCTCCATGTCATTTGGAGATGCATTCTATCTTTGTTCTACTCATTTTTCATTCCTCTTCTCTCCAGACCATACCTCTGCCTGCCTGGTCCCTGATCTCACTACAGATCACAATGTTGTCTGCAAACAGTCCACAAAGACTCCTGCCTGACCTCAACTGCCACTTATCGCACACCTCTATACTGTCTTGCTGTCTTCATAGTTTCATAAACTTTTTCCTCTGTAGTTACAACAGCTCCGCACATCATTCCTGTTCTAAATATAATTAATTTTAAAATAACTTTTAAAATAATTTTTTGGTTACCTTGTTCTTTTGTCTTAGTTCTAATGGTCAATTTTGTGATTAATTTAATTCGCTGGTTTGCCAATATGACAAAATAATGAATTGATTTGTGCTATTATTACAGTAAATTAAACATTAACTATTTTGTTTAGCTAACAGATTCTATCATTAATGCTTACATAGTAAATAATCTTTTACGTGGTAAAAATACAGGTTTAGAACAAGAAATAATTGCTTATACAAAGATTTAAATAAATTGTTAAGTTCAAATAAAGTCTTGTCATTGTTTTGCCAAGGACTGTCATTGTAAACTGGCAGTTTAAGGCACGCTTGGAAGTCTTTGTTTTACGCTTGGAAAAAGATGCACACATGCCACTGACTGATTACAGGTAGTTTAAATTTACTTTAAAAGCATTTTGGGTGAATTTCTGTGTTTAAAACAGTTTGAAATCGTCCACATATTCCACATATTACATTAGAGTAATACTAGTTTGCACCACAAGATGCTGTGGTGAGTCAGAGTAATCTAAAATAGGCCATGAATAACTTAAAATTATTTTCAATTGGATTCGGATATGTGGAAAAGTTCTTGGGAAAACAAGGGTAAGGCTAAATATAAATATTCTAATAATTAGTGAAAGTTAAAATATGAAAAAGAAAATCCCACTTGCACTGCCAAATAGTAGTAAAAATTAGTTTTTGTTCCAGGTGGTGATTACAAACAGACAGGTTTCTGCAGATCCAGTAAATTTACGTTTGTCCCATTGGAGCCTGAACGCAGCACTGGAGCGCTGTAGTGCTGAATTTGAGACGAATTACAAGAAAAGTCTCACAACTTAAAATAATTAGCGTATCATGCTGTGTAATGAATAAAACGCATTTTAAAAATAGAGGATTTTGCATGCTCATTAATTCAAATTCTTCTTTAGTTAGAGCCGCATTAACCTGCAGGTACAGAGAAGTATTATTTTAGAATTTTAGAAGCAAACAAATATTTTGCGAAAATGTTAATATGAAATCCTCCTGAGAACAGAGGGGGAAAGGATCTTTCAGTTTAACTTTTTAGGATTTGCGAGTTCACTACAGAGGACATGAATGAAAAGACTGGCGCCAAGACTAACTGAGATTTTATGTACAGGATATTAGTATATATGACTGTGTCCTTGTATTACTTTAGTCGTATGTTTTACTTATTTGTTTATCTATTTATTTATTTGTTCATCCATAGCTACATAATGATAATTTAGGTATAAGAGCTATTTTATTAATTGTTACCCATCTGTTTAGAGTTACGCCTAAAATGTCCTGTTTCCCTTTGTCTAACAACAAACACAGAAATTGCACAGAAATGTCCTTTGGCTTTCATATATAAAGCTGTAATGAATGTAAAATGTGACGGTGGATCTGAAATATATATACATATATTTGCGTGGGGTTTTTTTTTAAGCTGACGTTTTCTGCTAATTGACTTTCTTTCACGCTCGTCCCATTAGCATTCACCAATGATGTGCACCGGGTGATCAGTCAGGCTCTGCGCTGCAGGTATCTCTGCTGTCCAGTCACAGCAGCTGCAGTGATCAGCGCGCTGTGTGCCTCGTTACTGCCGCTGCAGCTCCACGTTCGAACCTGCAACTCAGACCAAATTAAAACCTCCCTCAGAAAAAGCCGCATGTGGTTTCCTCCTCCTGCCTCTCAGCACTGCAATGAAGGAATTTCCTCGTTTGTACTGAAGTCTCTGCGCTCACAGAAATGAGGTCTCGGCCTGAGTTTTCCCCGCGCTAACTACACAACAGGAAGACCGGAGCGGTCGATTCTCACCTGCATCATCTTCACCTTAGAAAAGAAAGTCGTACTTTTTTGCCTCTCGGACAGGACACCAACTGACTGCTGGCTGCAAAATGGATAATAATGCTGGAAATTCGGAAAAATCTCACCTCATAGACGAGAAGAATGCCAAGACATATTCACTAAAACTGCAAAGGTGGGGAAATGCTTTGCTTCGTATCACTGCAGCTGCATGAAGAATAATACCACATGTAGGACGAAGTTATGTGAACACATTTAGTCATTTTGGGGCATAAACTGTGTATAAAATGTGTGTGTGTGTGGGGGGGCGCGACAACAATTCTTTGTTTGCTGACACTTAAAGAAAAATGCAAGTAAGCAGATTTTGTTAAGGACATCAACATTTTTAATAGAAAACTCAAAATATTATTTTTTAAATTATAATTTTAAGATAGATGCAGGAAGAATCCACTATTGTTGCACATTATCTTATAAACGTGCGTAATGAAGGCGCACCGAGAGTGGTTGTTATAGTGCACGTTGAGCAGGCTTTGGCTCTCACGGGTTGTTTTATGTGAATGAACAAATTCATTTCCATGCTTGGCTTGTTTCTGGACAGCCTGTGACAAATGGCCCCGGGGCCAGTTCACTGAGCAATGCTAAAAACTCATCATCTGTCATTAGCAGAGGCTCCAGCCTGCAATCACAGAGGGTACACACACACACACACACACACACACACACACACACACACACACACACACACACACACACACACACACACACACACACACACACACACACACACACACACAATCCATAGGTGCTTAAACCTGCTGATACAAAAAATACACAGCAGAGAATATTACTAAAAAGCATACACAAAGCTGGTTCGAATTTTTAATTGTAGGATAGGATAATAAAAATATTAAAACATAGTTGGAATGCGCTCCTTTTCTGGCGTATTTAACAAATAGCTCCCACATTATAGAAATAAGTTGTATAGGATTTTAAAGAGGCCCACGTGTAAAAACACCACTTTTAATAATTTAATTTAAAAAACCACCGAGTTTAAAATATAGATGGCGGAGCAAATGAAAGAAAAAAAAGACGATTTTATGCGCACAGTCAAAGCTGATGCAAACATGTGCATCAGCTTTGTTTGCTCAACATCCAGCCGGCTGCTGCAGAAACACACCTGGTGATTTTTCAACGCGCTGCAGAAAAAAACAGGTGGAGACGCTCTCTCGCTTTAATATGAAATACGTGAGGAAAATCAAATGCAATCGCCCACTCAGCCATTAATCATAATCCTGCAGAATTATCTGTTATTTTCAGCCTTCAGAGGCCCTCATGATGCACGTTTCCACCTCTTTGATCAACTGTTTTTAAGTCAGTGAAGCTGGTGGAAGTGAATCGATGCCTTTGATTTCACGCTTTAAAACTGGCTGTTTTATTTATTTATTTTTTAAAAGATAATTTCCAGATACAACACGATTAAAAAGAGATAAGGTGGCAGAAACTTTACGCGTTATAAAGCAGGAGAAGAAAAAGGGAAGCTCCACCGGGTGAGAAACACGTGTTTTACAGGGTTAGTTACTTGCAAATATTAGTGCGAACTTGCAGGGCCTTTGTATTGTATTTATTTATGTATTTTGAATCAATCAAATAAAAAAGCACATTGCTCTAACATGATTTTGTAGAAATAAGTGAAATAGGCCTACTGATCATTTGGGATTCAAAGAAGTGTTCAGAAACACAGACAGATGTGCACATGGCGCTACATTTGGGATTTCATGCACCATTTGCGCCGTTCTTGTGCAAGTGCACGCATGTGTTTACAGTGTCACCTTTAGCATTTTCCTCCCCAGCTGGCAGTAAAGTGACCTTTATTGTTCACAAATGTTTCTACAGTATTTTTGATGTATTTTAGAATCAGCAGAACTCGTAATCAAAAACACAGGAATAGATGCAAACATTAGCATTAAAGTTAATAAAATAAATACGAGCATCCAAAGATTCCAAAGTCAGACTTACTCAGTCTATCACTTAGAATTCATTTAATTTCCACCGCCAAATATCACCGGAGGGCTCAACCCGAAGTTCTGTTTTATCAGCTTGAATCTGCTGTTTTGTTTTTCAAGTATAGTAAAAACGAAAATGATAAGAAAAGAGCTTGCATAAGTTTGGAACAATGATTGCTAATCCATTTATAAAATGTCAGAAAATAGAGTAAAAGATCATTACAAATCAATTTAACATGGATGAGTAACAAATACAAAAGTGACTGGATGATTAATTAGTAAGTTGAGAGTGAACCATTGACCACCAGAGGGAGATGCATTGAAACTGGGGTATTTAAGTATTTAATGTACACTAGTGGTTACTTAATGTTTTCTGGCATGCCCAGAAAACAAAAAAGAAGGCAAAAGGTCCACACCCCAGAAAACTTGAATTTGAAAAAAATAAATAATAGTCAGCACATTTAATTTCAGAAAAACCAGATCTATTTAACTTTAGTCCACTGCATATTTTCCTTGATTGGTCAGACTCCACCTGTATCAGCTCCCACAGTTTAAAAACCACTGATGTAAGCAAATAATTCCTATTCCTGGTATTTCAGTGGGAGGTCCCAAGGCTGAGGCACATCAAGTGGTTGTCATTTTAATGGATGCGACCATATTGGATTTTATTGAGAGTTTGAAAACAAATTCTGTTAATATACATTTTAATATACAACATAATAGGCGTGTCACTAGGGATTTAATCTAATCCATGAGAATAAATATTACAGATTGAAGACCAGTGATGAAAAGGAAATGTGACTTCGGTCTGCAATGTGATGTGAAATCATCGTAAACTGTAAACATGACTTATGGTGCACTGATGTGGACCTTTCTTCTCTCTGGGGAAAAACAAAGGCAAATCTCATGGGTCGTTCACAAACATTTAAAAATAAATGTTTTTGTTTACATAAAAAAGCCGGATCATCTGGATAAAACCAGGGCCTTTTATTAAGGTTAAAAACATGGACTGTTGACCAAGATCTCACCAAGAGTAAAGCTTTCAAAACCTCTAATTAAAATATTAGAAACAAATGTAGCATCTGTATAAAACACAAATTTACAACACTGTAATGTGTGTGTTTGTGTGTGTGTATATATATATACACACACACACACAAACATATATATAGACACTGCCTATTTACTAAAGCCTGCACATCACAAGTGATAAAACAAAAAGATGAGGATATAATAAGATGATAATCACTTTCATTCTGTACTCCACTGATTTGTCTGCTGAAATATTAATATGCATATCTGTAAAAATAAAACACTGCTCAGTAGTTTCTCGCTGCAGAGATTCTTCTGTCTGTTAACAAAAGTGCTGCGGGATGTTCTGATACAGCAGATTGCAGTTGTAATTAAATGCTTATGATTTTGTTTTTTTCCCCCGCTGGACTTCCAAGATCTCATTTCATTTCACAGATCACTGACTTTTCCCCGAGGAGTCTCTCTCTCTGTTTGTGCTGCCGGTGCTGGGCAACAATAAACGCTGCTTACCTGCCCTGTGGGGTATTGACAAAGACATGAAATCTACTTTGAAAAGAAAATCTAATGTTAATAATCTTAAGGAGACTCCTTGGGTCTGCCATATCGTCAATTTGTAAGGGTGGCAGTGAAAAGAGGAATATGAGCCATGTATCATTAATAATTACTAGTTTTTTTTTTTTTTATTATATTTGGAGTGCAGAAGCAGGTTTTTTGGCAGTTTATAGTACCATCTCATTCTTGTGCTTATGTTAGTTGTATTTAAATGAAAAATAATCATTGATGCCAGACACCAAAAGTGAGGCGGGGTCAGCAGAGGGCTGTAAATCCCTAAATACAGACCACTGAGTGAATTATCCCACTCAGGGAACGTCTCAGTGACGACACTTTTGATTGTTTCGATGAATATTTTGGTCATTGTGTTATTTCCCCCCCCCTGCAGAGTCAACACGAGGAGCAATCTCTCCTACTGAAAACGCTCAGACACAGTTATGTTTGACCTGCGATCGTCTGACTTAAACCAAAGGACTTAAAAACATTAAGACTATTAGCACTAAACGCTGAAAGCAAAAACTAAAATGCACCAATATATTTTTTTGTTGTTTGTACAACTTTTGTTCTTTTTAAGGTCTGTAGTGTTACACATAAAATGCATGAACAGGAAAATACACATTACAAACAAACATAAAAGCTTTTTCTTCAAATTTGTTTTTATTTCTTAAAAGAATTGAAGCCCAGTCACCACCAGGGTCAAAACATCGTCACCACTTTGAAATAAATAGACTGCAAAAAACACATAATTGTAAACTTGTATTTGCATTTCAAATATCATTTTAAACACACTTTTTTCAATTCTCTGGGGGTGTTTTTTGCAGGTAATATTACAGTCACAATATGTCCACCTAATTAATGGATTTGACTATTTGACTTGACAAATTAGTGCTGAATGCTACTGAGCCAGTTTAAGGCACAGCTGCGGTATTACTGCGGTTGGCTGGGAGTGTTTTCAGTGTTTAAAGCCAAGGAGCCACTTGATTAAGGAGTGCTGACCAACAACCATATAGTTTCCAAAAGAACAGTGCAATTTACTACCGAGATCAAATAAAATAAGCAGTAACTTCATGAGGATTTTTGGATGAGAAAGTAAGAAAGTGCAAACAAAAACATTTCACCCTTAATAAATGTAAAACCACCATTAAGTCCACCTTTAGTCAAATCAGCTTTATTTGTATAACATGTTTAAAAGACATCAGGTATTGAACAAGTGCTGAACATAAGGATAATGTAGGCAAAATAAACAGAACAGATTAAAATAAATGGAGTAATAAGATGACAAGAAATCCATATATATGTACACACACCTATATACAAATGCATATACTAGCATATATGTACACATGCATAAACCAACATTCACTGTTGTTCAGTTTACCTTCAGAAAGAGATAAAAAAAAAATCTTGTTATGTTTGAATTTGGCAGGAGGGTTACAGATGTTAATGGCACAGATGTTTGCTTAACAGGCAGCCCCCCCCCCCCACAATGTTGCGCTGCAGGCCACACAGTGTGTTTAATGTCTGAGGATGCTTTGCATGAATCTTTTGAACAGGATATTTTTTTTCTGCACACTCTGGAATTTATCATCACCCCAAGGTTTCATTGTGTGTGTGTGTGTGTGTGTGTGTGTGTGTGTGTGTGTGTGTGTGTGTGTGTGTGTGTGTGTGTGTTTGTGGTTTTCTCTCGTGTCCCGGTGGTATAATTGAACAGAATCTGTTTTCCGCCTGGCTGCTTCTTTTGAGGTTGGACATCTTCGAAGACGAGTGTGTGTGTGATAATCGTACAGCGCTCGCAATCTCCTGTGTGAAGAGTGTGACATTAAAGTGTGTGTCTGGTTATCTCAAGTGAGGCCAAATTAGCTTTTTTCCACCTCATTAGTCACATCATCGAATCCTCCCCCACGCATGATAAGAACAGCAACCTGTGTGTGTGTGTGTGTAAGAGAGAGAAACAAAGATAGAAAATAAATGGAAAGGTCAGCATTTTCTTTTATTCTCAGCAGTAATCCAGTCGGGTCTGCATCTAGCTAGGGTTCAAGTATACATAGATCTGTAATGTCCCGATTGAACACTGAAAAATTGACTTTCAAATGAAAAGCATCTTATTGTAGATGGGCAAGATGGTGTTAAATGAAAAGATTCTGTATTTATGTGCAAAATGAACAGAATGGCAACTATTAAATGATTACAGTATTATTTATTTTACCACTGCTACTGTTTTAATTTACTAAATTACCAAATAAACAGGCCAGATTATTAGGTATTAGGTCAACTCAGCAACCTTTAGACCCAGAACCTTGTTCCATCTGTGCTATAAGAATTAAGGCAGTTCTGAAGACAAAAGATTGTCCAGTGTACACATGTTTTTGTATTCTAATCAACTTCCTTCAGATTCCTTTGGAATTACCTGGTACTGGGTTTGAATGGTTGTCTGTTGTCTCTGTGAATCTCTGTGGTTGATGGGTGACCAGTACTGGGTACATCCTTCTTCTTGCCAAACAACAGGTATAGTCTCCAAACCTTGGCAGTCCTAATAGGATTAATGGTAAATAAAATAGATGGATGGAGTATTAAAAAAACATTTATCTATTTGTTGTTATATGTTTGATGTTTGGGCAGTGTCTGGCTTCAAGTTTACAGTCTGATTTATTATACACAAGAAGCACTAATTTTATAATTTGCTTGTCAAAGGATTGTTACACTTTCTTAAGGTTTTTGTTGTTGTTTGCTGTTTGTTTATTCGTTGTTGTTGTTTGCTTGTTTTACAACATTTTGGATAGATATGACTTTCATTCACAAATTTGTTGTCAATTAAAACACTGCTGTAACCTGGATGAATAGAAAACAACACAACGCACAAGACCTAAGATGGAGCGCTTATGAGTTATTAAAACTCAGGAGCAGTCGTGACGTGAAGTTCTGGACTGTAAAACAGGGCAGTCTGTTCACCCTCCTTCACTGTCAACATGAATCGATTTTAATGGGTTCTTCATCGAACGAAACGGCGCACCATTCTTTCACTTAAGTGAACACTGACTGCGATGCACTTTGTCAGGTTTCCACTTTGTAAACCATTGGGACTCTATCAAAAGATGATCTGCTGCGCTGTAACATCAGCTAAAAAAACCCACCTCAGCTGTGCTGCTGTTACAAGGATGGACAAAAAGCCGGCCTCCATGAGATCGGACAGGGGGTTTTACTAAGGCTGAAATTACATTGTTTTAACAGACATGTCGGTCAGAAGATACAAAAATAATTTTTTTTCTTAATAAGTAGATTTATCTTTAAATGCACCCATCACACTGCAGACTAGCTCACATCTTCAGATATAATGTTTTCTGTCTGAACAGCCCAGTATGATTTATAATATTTATACTGTATATAGTGCTTTTCTATTTTCACTGACCTCATTTAACAATGCATTAAAACTGAGCTTTGGAGCACATGTTATCTACCTCTCATTTATGATCAGTGTAGAATTACCAGTTAACCCAGCATGCTTGTCAGTTAGGGTTTGAACTGGGAACTGTCTCTGTGACAACACTCATATTTATTATTTTATATTTATTATTTATTTAATAGTCCAAGTAACTCACATCATTATGCAGAAAAAGGTGAGATGTAAACATGCCAAAATTGCTAATTTCCTTCTTTCCCAGGGAAGGTCACATAAAAGCTTTACAATAAACAAATGCGTAAAAATATATAACAAATGAAACATCAAAAACCACAGCGAACAACTCTGTTCATTCATTACCTGAAAAAAAATCAAACATTACAGCTGATACAGGTGATGTAATCAAGTATGTTTAAATGTGGTACTGAAAGCTAGAGCAACAGCACAATACTGCAGGTGTAAGATTATAATGGCAGCCCTGTGCATCATAGGTAGGTTCTTCAGGAGGAACAGCTTGAGGGTCACATTGTTTGATCAGCAGCAGCTAAGTGATAATAGCATCCTTCATGGCAAGCTCACTCATTCAAGCTGTGAAAATATACTACTGTTTATTTTCTGCCCCCCTGCAGCTCCTTTCCAGACTCCAAAGAACATTATTCAGACTTCCCTTTAAAGAATGGAGGCATGTCGGGCGCCATCGAGCTGAAACGACCCGTCGGCACTCACTGCCACGGCCCCAAAGCGTCGGCATGCGAGGAGAGCGTGGACAAGCTGCTGGCCAAGAAGAAACTCTACATCGCTTCAGCAGTCTGCCTCGTCTTCATGATTGGCGAGGTCATAGGTGAGAAGCACCAAGAAAAGAAATGAATGAGAAAAGAAAGCAGCTTGAATGGTGACCTAATTTGTTATGTGCCTTCTCAACCATTTGGACATAAATAAACTTCCCTATATTCACACACCAGAAAGTGTGGAGATTTGTGTGGGACACAATACTTATGACAAGAAGATGGTTATAAGCACTTATTAAGCATAGGAAGCTATTACATTTGACCAAATGATCACTTTTGACAGGAGCAAAAAAATCATGCAGACAAGTGTTCATGCAGACGTTAGTATCATTATAAGCATCATAGCAAGAAATGCTTCAGTGGTGAACTATTGAGGAACTCCTTTATTTCCCTGTAAAAGTGTAGGTTCATTTTTCTTTTTATAGTGTAACTTTTTTTACTGTTAAGAGAATAAAATGGTGGCTGACATTCACTGGCTGGTTGCACGGATATTTAAAATGATCTAAAAGAATAAAATCGCTCTTTTACCTGAGGCAACTGAGGCTTTAAATCACATGTTTAATATACCTCTGAGTGTCTAAGATGGGTGTATTTAAAAGCTATTAAAAGAGATGTTATTACCCAGCAGGTACTTTCACAGTTGGCGAGCTACGACACACTTTTTAATAAAAATCTTTTTTATTAGCTAAATGTGAATGAAAATAAACACAGCTTCACACTTTCTGTTTGCTCTGTTCTGTTTGGATATCGTATTCAACATTTATGTACATACCACAAAAAAAAAAGTGACATGAGTTGGATTATGTGTCTTTCCTTATCTCTAAGCAGACTATTATAAACGCAGTCTCCTGGCTCATATACATTATCATTTGTGCCCAGTGTCATTTTTCCTCCTGATTTACAGGAGGCTACCTGGCCCACAGCCTGGCCATCATGACTGATGCGGCCCACCTTCTGACAGACTTTGGCAGCATGATGGTGAGCCTGTTCTCCCTGTGGATCTCCTCCAGACCGCCCACCAAAACCATGAACTTTGGTTGGCACAGATCAGGTGAGAATAATAAGAATTCAGCTTCAGCTTCATGTCGACTGGATGCTGGAGACAAACATTTCGTATATGCATTATATTGCTGGTCATTTGTAGGAGTTCCTGGGCCTGAGTTATTTTGTGTAGATTTTCCTTTATTTTGTCCATGTAAACTGCACATGGGCAAAATAAACTCTACATGGCCTCAACTTGCTTGAGTCACTAGATGTATTGTGGCTATTCTGATTGCACACCCTGGTGTATCCCTGTGTAAAGGTTGGGGCAGGTAATGTCAGCCTGGATTGATGATCTCACTTTTTAAGAAAAGGAACTAGAGGCTGTTTTCTATCTTCAAGTGATCGCTCTCATCAGCCTGCCTGAAAACATCTACACCAAGATACAGGAGAGAATAATCTAAACAGTATAAACTTTGGATTCAGGAGAAATGATGTGGCCTTCCTTCAGTTTTGATGTGTTTTGTGAAGAAGGCATTTAAACATGTCCTTCTGGTTCTCCAAGAGTCCAGTGGTGCTGCAGTTTGGTAAAGGGTTGCTCTTTGTTACCAACTTTGTTCATAATTCTTATCAACGGGATTTCTAGTTGCAGTCAGTCTGCTGCTTCTCCTCCTTGAAAGGAGACAATTAAGGTGGTTTGGCTATCTGAGTAACACACCTACCACCTCCTAGCTGAAATGTTTCTGGCATAGTATGGGATGAGGACCTGGAGTAGACCCAGGATACGCTGCAGAAATTATGTCTCTCGGCTGGCTTGGGAACACTTTAGTGTCACAAGAGCTGGAAGCTGTGGTCATTTCTGTAAAGACTGCTAGTATCATGACACAGTCCTATGCAGGTGGCAGAAAATGGATAGATCGATTTTCTGCTAACCTTCTCCTGGGAGCATTTTTATACTAAGAAAAAATACTGTCTTCATCCTTTTTTTATTTAAATGATTTGTCCTATATATCAGGTGCATGATGTTCACATGGTGGCTTACACAAGGAGAAATTATATAGACAGATTCCAGATACAGATTATAGAGAGCGCAGTGTTTAGCCTCAACCCTTGGAAAAACAAACACCTATTAAGACAGACTTGGCATCTATGAAATCATCCATTAGTTATGAATTCCTGTTTTAAAGCCTTGATCTGAAATCTTTTTGCTATTTTGAGACCACTTGTTTTGAGCAAGTAATGACTCTGACTGAAGTACAGCGGGAGGCTCATATGGTGTAGAGTTTAAGTGTAGCCTGCTATATTGACCATCATTTACAAGATGAACATTAACTTGCATTTACTAAGACAGGGAACTGGTGATTGAGGCCATCAACGTATTAGTAAAGTCAGTTTAGTTTAAGCTCAGAAGAAGCATGCTGAGTATATGGTCAGCAGCATACAGTAGATGTGCCTCCTTATTATCTGTGATGAACTGCATGACTACAATAAAGTAATAAAGGTTCATGATTTTCTTCTCCTTCCAGAGATCCTCGGGGCATTCATCTCAGTCATGTCCATCTGGATCGTCACTGGAGCTCTGGTCTACTTGGCCATTGAGAGGATCGTACGTAACGACTATGAGATTGATGGACACGTCATGCTGGTCACCTCTGGCTGTGCTGTCATCGTCAATATTGTGTGAGTGCTTCACACCTTTAAAAGTATATTAACGCTTGTAAAAACTTTGCTCTCAATGTATGCTGCTGCTATTGACACCATTACATAATATTACCATTACTTTTACTAATAATAAAAAAAATTACAAATATTTTACTAACAAAAACCATAGACAGTATTTAAAAGATGGCTGTAACCATGGCGTCCTCACTCACATTTCCTCTACTGACATCTCGGTCTAATGAGACCAGATGCAAGAAGCAAAAGGGAGGATCTGATTGAGAAAAATGATGGACTGTTTCCTGAGTGCCATGAAGCAAGGCATGCAAATACAACTGATGACCCTTTGTCTCGTTTCCTTTCTCTAGCATGGCGTACATCCTCCACCATTCGACCACCTTCCACGCTCACGGCAGCGGTTACCACCAGATCGACGAGGATGGTCAGAGCCCCGTGGTTCATGGCCACTCGCACGCCCTCCTCGGCAGTCATGGTAACACAAGCGTCCGTGCTGCCTTCATCCACGTGGTGGGAGACCTGCTGCAGAGTGTCGGCGTCATGGTGGCGGCGACCATCATCTACTTCCGGGTCAGATAAACAGATATATTACATGATATAAAACAGAGTCATGTTAAAAGCACAAAGACATGCTTACAGGTACAAGCATATTTGTATTCTGAGCATTAGAGAATTATATTTGAATGTGTACAAAGAAACCATGTATGGTTTCTTATGTATTATGGATGAAAGATTCAAGCATTTCTGTTGTGTTGCAAGATGTTCTTGTTTTTGTGCCTGGAGCACTTTAGTGCCTCATGACTGTGGAAATCACCATCTGACGCCCTTTTCCTTGCTCTTTAAAGTGTCCTTAACCTCTTTTCTCTCTTTCAGCCTGAGTATAAAGTCGCAGACCCCATCTGCACGTTCCTATTTTCTGTCTTTGTTCTCTGCACCACTGTCACCATCCTCAGAGACGTCTTTAGGATACTCATGGAAGGTATTAAACAATCAACAGCTTCTTATGTTCGAAATACTTTTTCATATTTTAATAGTGGAATCATATACTGTACCTGATTGTTCCCATGAAGTATAAAGTATTTTTGTTATTATGCAAAAGGGGTACTTCACACCAGATTTACATATGTGTTTTTCCTCTTGCTTGTTGCGCCACTGATCTATCTACATACTGGGTTCTCCAGATAGAAATGCCTGTCTTTGAGTGCAGGAGGGAACTGACTTTGTGGGCTCAAAATGGAAAAACATGTATTTGAAAAACTCTTGTCAGAAATTATAATGCAGTTACTCAAAAAAACAAAACAAAAACCCATGTAATGATAACAAACCCTGTTGTAAGTCAATAAATTTGATATTTATTTATTATAATTTAATTAAACACATTGAAGTTCAAAAATTTGATTCAAAGCATAAAATGTACAATTGCAACATAATATCTCCAGAAGTTCTTAAAATGGAATTATAACAAATCCAATCCAATAAGTCCAGTATGAAGTCAGGCCAGTTTTTGTGTCCTAAGGTTGTTGTCCTGAAAGAAAAACCTGCATCACACTGAAACTTCTTAAAAAGATCGTCCAGAAAAATACATTTTTCAATACTGTGATAAATGTTTAATGTGAAGATGCTTTCGATACAACGGGTTCATCTGTAGCTGGATTTGACATGAATGATTATTATTTCTTTTTCTTCTTTTATTGTGTTAAATCTGAGGTTTAAAATCTAGTTCACAATTTTCCTTACATGATTGTGGCATCAAGGGCAGATGTTATATAAGCTGTAGCTTCTGTCACACCCTTTCAGTTTGAAATCTAAATAAAGATAAAATAAGATGAAATAAAAATATAACTGTTATAGCGTCTCCTCCTCTAGGCTTGGCTTAGAGTGACTTAAATTTCTTCTTCATGTCTGTGCAGATGTTTGCATGCCTGCTTCATTTTTCTGCGAGTGAAGACTCAGCTGCAGGGACTTTGCATTACAATGCACCAAACATGGATGCAACCCAGGTGGTTGACTTTAAAGACGTATAGCAGAAATGACTGCTCAGCCGTGGTTTCTCAAGCTGTTTGTGTTTTCAGCAGAGTATAATCGAGGCCTTACTGTGCAGAAGAAACTGTGCAACTGCCGGTAACAAGAAGCTCAGGCTAACAGCAGAATGTAATGATTAATGGCAGCTCCCTTGCTGTAATTTCAATTACATGCTTCTTTTGGTTAGCAATAGTTTAGTATGAAAAAAACAACAACACAGTTCCCGGTGAAACTGCTTAAAACTAAATTGGTGGATTTGATTTAATTTATACTTTTTTTTTTTTTGGTAAATCTATCACAGTTGGTGGAAAAATACATTGTGCAGTTTTTCTAATTATATTTTTGTTGCGTTAAACACCACAAACTACCTTTGCTATATTCATGGGTACCCAGGTGCCCGATATCGCGAAAAGTAGATAAACAGGAATACGAGCCAAAGAAAAAAACACAAAAAAATCCAACAAACATAAATCTGATTTTTATTTCCTGACTCTTCAAGCTATAAATTCAGTGTCTCAGCTTGATATGAGATTGGAAAAGGGAGAAACCACCAGCCTACCAATACCTATAAAGTTCAGTAACACTGCTGTTAAAGCCAGCAGCTTGTTTTAGGTCAACGCTCAGAAACAAGCATGCAGCTACCCTGCATCAGTTTATGCTGTTTATTAGAAAAAACTCTTTTGAGAAAGGTTGAATATTGCTTTAAATTAAGCTTATGAGATATTTCTGACCATGATGCCTGCAGCTTGGATCCAGCTGTCAGACTTTGACCTGGTATGAAAAAGGTTAACATCACATGTTGCAAAGGACAGTTATGTCACGTAGAAGTGCAAAAAACAACATATTTGGAGCCTAACTGAAGTATTCATGGCTTCAGATATGTATGTCTCCAAGCTCCACATGGCATGTTTGTGTAAAACAGCAGAGAAACGCGTCTGTGGTTTTCCTAGCACAGAACAAAGAGGACAGATGGTCACATCCTGGGGATGCCCTGAGATATTAGATCACCCAAGTCTCTGCACGTCACTGGACTTTCACACGATGACCCAAAGTAGCTTTTGGGCATCTTTGAAAAGAAGCTCACAGTTTGGTGTCAATGAGCAAAATGATAACATGCATGAGAGCCATGTATCTGATGTAATACTGTATACATACATCAGAGTTTTAATACTTGTATTTATGATTAGTTTGCATTTATATTTTTTTTTTGGGTTGAATTTACTTTTTTGTTTCCCTTTTAGGTTTGTCTGTTTATATAGTTTGAAATGTCCAATTTTAGCCTATTTTTATTACTTTCACTGTTAGTTTTAGTGTTTTTATAATCTTAACGTAGATAAATATTTCCCAGATTTAAGATTTTCAGAATAGATATTGTAGTACACAAAACAAATTTTGAAGGCAGTCATGCAACTACCTTAGTCTCATGTGCAGGAATGCCTCCTACACATTGTCTCTATAGTTGTAGTGACTAGTTTTAATTAACTACTGTATAACTAGTCATGATTTTAGTCAAATTTGACTTCTTTTCCACCTGTAGATCAGTAAAATAAAATATATCACTGTGTGCTTATCAAGGAATATTACGTTCTGTGAGGCTGTGGGAGTGTGTGGGTGGGGTGTTTGCCCACTCTCCCCGCCTCCACCCCTCTTGCCACTCCTACCCCTCTCTGTCTCTCTCACTCTCCTCTCTCCCCAGGACACAGCTGCTGCTGATTAGCCTCGTTTGCCACCTGACTCCAGTCAGCAATCATCCTCTGAGGCTATTTAAACTGGGGATGAGCTGTGAGCAGGGTGGCTTTTTCCTCGGTGGCTCTACGCGGTTCTGTGCTAGATTTTGGACAGACAGCCTCTTTCTGACCAGTGAGCAGACGGGCTTGTGGGCCCTGAGAGTGTCTCCCCGTGGTGGGGAGTAGGGTAGGAAGTGTGGGAAGTGCCTCCTTTTTTTATTGTGTTTGTTTGGTAGTCCTCCTGCCTTTCGTGGCTGCGAGCGTTTTCTTTGTTTCTTTGGCGTTATTGGTAAGACGGCGTTGCCGGCCCTTTAAGTTAATGTTAACCTGTACCATTTTGTAATAAAGTTTTATTGATGCAGAACAACTCTGTTTGTTTTCCTTTTTCATTCTGATTCCGGACTCATTTGTTACTGGTCCCCTCTCTCACATGCCTAGACCCCTTCGGGGGAACGTAACAATGTGGGGCTCGTCCGGGATATGAATGGAAGGAATAACAATTGAGTTTTAGTGAGTTGTTTGCCGGTGGCTTGTTTAGTTGTATGGTATCTGCTGCGCTCTCTCTCCAGTTAGCAAAGGGGAGTGTCTAGCCGAGCGTAAGCTCCTCCTTCAGGCACTCATTTTTTATTTTTCCTTTATTATTTCGGAGTAATCCCGGGTGGGGATTAGTTCCCTGTCGGGGGTAGGCTTGTCGGTGCTTTGTGCACTTGATGCTTAGCCTTTAAAGTTGCCTCGAGCCTGGTACACTCCAGAAGCTAACTAGGCTAAGATTTTAGTAGGCAGGTCTGGGGAGAGGGTCGGCGGTACTCTTATTTATTGGTTAACCTGTGGCCACACTTTTCCCGCCTGTTTTCTCATTTGTGTATTGGAGGTGGTGCTTCTTTGTTGTTATTGTTAGCCTCAGGTAGTTTTTTTGTTTTTAGAATTGATGGCTACCTTTGATATTGCCGTGTTTAATAAAAACCCCTCGCTTGTCCAACTGGACGCCTGTAGGAAGAGGGATTTGCATGAGGTGGCATCAGGTTATAGCATTTCTGTTTCCACAGCTCTGCGTAAGGCTGAGCTGAAAGCTGCTCTTGTGGCTGGCTTGGTGGAGAAAGGGATAGTGGCCTTGCCAGTATCTGCCAGTCCACTTGAGCATGGTGCAGCGTCTCAGCCTGTTCCGCAGGCGTCAGCTCAAGCTGTAGGTCCATTGGTGTCGACACCTGTTGGTCAGGGGCTGCCTGTGGACAAACCCATGACATTGCCTCGCTTCGAACCCCTCTCCATTGAATCAAGTGAAGGCTCGAAGCAGGATGCTAAGCTCCGTGTACGCCTGGCTCGTCTCCAGTTAGAGAAGGAGGACCGTGAGAGGGAGTTCCAGCTAAAGAAAGAGCTGGAGCTTAGGCGTTTAGACGCAGAGCTTGCTAGAGCCAGAGAGGTCGAATTGAGGAAGGTGGAGGTGGAGGCAGAGACAGCTGTGAGGTTGCGACAGCTGGAACTCCGGCAGGTTTCCCTTCCTCCGACCGCCTCCATTCGTCAGGCGGACACCCCGTTTGACGTAGGGAAAAACAGTCGTCTGGTTCCGATGTTCCGTGACACTGAGGTCGACAGCTACTTCGAGTCGTTTGAACGAATAGCCACAGCCTTGCACTGGCCACGGATTCATGGGCCATTTTGCTCCAATGTAAGCTGGCGGGTAAGGCTCAAGAAGTTTGTTCCTCGTTGTCAGCTGAGGACAGCTTGGACTATGACAAGCTGAAAAGGGCTATCCTGCTGGCCTATGAGCTGGTCCCAGAAGCCTATAGGCAGCGTTTCCGGGGGTTGAGAAGAGGTCAGGGTCAGTCCTATCTTGATTTCGCCAGGGAAAAAGGTGTTCTTTTCGATCGGTGGTGTGCGGCCTGCAAAGCCACTGACCTGGCTTCGATCCGGGAACTAATGCTCATAGAGGAATTTAAGAACTGCATTGCTGAGCGCATCGCGGTATATATTAATGAACAGAAGGTTTCCTCGCTACAGCAGGCTGCGACGCTGGCTGATGAGTTCGCGCTCGTCCATAAAACCAGTGTCAGTAGGTATGACCGGCGCGATGCCCCAGTGAAGGCTAGCGAGGTGCCAGTTGCACAGCACCCAAAGAGTGAGGTACTTGTGTTTCGTCCCAAGGCAGACCGAAAGTGTTTTTTCTGTTTTAAGTCTGGCCACCTGATCGCAAATTGTGAAGCTTACAGACGGAAACAATCAGTCTCGTCTTCACGTAAACCAAAAGGGGTTGGGCTGATTAAAACCATGCCTCCTGTCAGTAGGCCCCTTCCCCTGAGACCCCGGATGAGTGTTTTAAGCCTTTCATTTTTAAGGGGATAGTTTCGCTTTCTGGTAAGACCGAGGATAAGCGTGAAGTGACCATTCTGCGTGATACTGGTGGCTCACAGTCCCTCATACTAGCTAGTGTGCTTGAATTTAATGAGAAGTCTGACTGTGACTCTAGCATCATTGTAAGAGGTGTTGGGATGAGTTTTGTGCCTGCTCCCCTCCATCGTATCTGGGTACAGAGTGAGCTGGTGAGTGGTTTCTTCTCAGTGGGTGTGCGGCCTTCTCTCCCGATTAATGGGGTGGATTTTATAATGGGAAATGATATCGCGGGTGGGAAAGTTTACCCTACCCCTGAGGTGACCAACAATCCTGTTATAGAGCCTGTGTTAGATGCCCTCAGCCTGCAGCACCCGGATGTGTTCCCGGTGAGCGTTCTGACTCGTTCACGTGCCCAGCAACAAGGTGGGGGGTTGATTTGTCAGATTCAGTGATCGGCTCTATTCTAGAGAAGGATGTGATGCCCTGCACCGATGAGGGAGATAATGGAGCCTTAGAGTTAGCTCACAGTGTGGTTGAGCCAGCTCCTGTGTCTGGAGCTCCTTTTCTGCTCACCCGGGAAGCACTTGTGAAGGCTCAGAAAGAAGACCCTTCATTAGTTCAGTGTTTTACCGCAGCAGCTCAGGATAAGGGAGGTGAGGGGAGCAAGAGGCAGACATTTTTCGTTTGGGAAGGTTTATTGATGCGCAAGTGGACCCAAGGCCTGGAGAAGACTGGAGCGTAGTGCGGCAGTTGGTGGTTCCGACCAGTCTGCGGTGGCATGTGCTGCAGTTAGCACATGATCACGCATGGTCAGGTCATTTGGGTGTCACTAAAACATATGACCGTATACTGCAGCATTTCTTTTGGCCGGCAATGAAAGCAGATGTAGTGCAGTTTTGTAACACCTGTCACACTTGCCAGCTTGTGGGTAAACCGAACCAGGCGGTGCCCCCCGCCCCCTACGTCCTATCCCTGCTGTCGGTGAACCTTTTGAGCATATCCTGGTAGACTGTGTTGGCCCCTTACCAAAGACGCGGGCAGGGAATCAGTTCTTGTTAACCATAATGTGTGTGTCCACTCGATACCCAGAGGCGATTCCTCTGCGGAAAATCACGACAGCAAGCATTACCAAAGCACTAGTCAAATTCTTTACCACCTTTGGCCTCCCGAAAACCGTGCAGACAGATCAGGGTACCAATTTCATGTCCAGGGATTTTAATCGGACTCTACGGTCCCTTGGAGTTTCTCATTCTGTGTCTAGTGCTTACCACCCAGAGTCACAAGGTGCACTGGAGCAGTGGCATCAAACTCTCAAGGCGATGTTGAGTAAGTATTGCCACGACACCGGAAAAAGCTGGGATGAAGGGGTCCCTTTTGTATTGTTCGCTATACGTGATGTGAAGCAGGAGTCTTTGGGGTTCAGCCCAGCTACCCTGGTGTTTGGACATGACGTGCGGGGTCCGCTAAAGGTGCTGAAGGAGAGTTTTCTCAGTGGTTGTGTGCCTAAAACTACTGTGATGGAGTTTGTAAAAACATGCAAGGACAGGTGGCAACGGGCTACTTTGTTAGCAAAAGAGGCTCTCTGTGTATCCCAGGCAAACATGAAAAAACGATGTGATCAAAAAGCAGTGGAAAGACAGTTCCAGCCTGGGGACAAAGTTCTTGTGTTGTTGCCCGTGCCCAGTTCTGCCCTCATGGCTCGTTTCTCAGGCCCCTATGTGATAGTGAAAAAGTGTCTGACACCAACTATATTCTCAACACCCCAGAACGCAGAAGGAAGACTCGCCTATGCCATGTCAACATGTTGAAACCATACCATACCAGAGACACCAGCATGACAGAATCATCAGACACTGCTGGGACGGCTGTCCCCGGTTCAGTCCCTGTTGCCCTGCTAAGTGTTGAAGTTAAGGGTGATGATGATCTGGGTACCCTTTCTGAGGGACAGCAATGTGGGCGGTTGTCAAATTCCGTTTTTTTTAGCTAAGGCCGAGGCCAACCTATCTCACCTTCCTCCGTCCCAGTGTAAAGAGGTACTTGACTTGCTGCACTCCTACCTGTCTCTTTTAGTGACGTACCCTCGCGTACCCACGTTTGTGAGCATGACATTGACGTTGGAGACGCAGTCCCAATCAAGCAGCATGCATATCGTTGCCCCTTCGCCAAACGTGAGGTCATGAAAGAAGAAGTTGAGTACTTAGTAGAAAACGGCTTGGCACAACCTAGTTGTAGCCCCTGGAGCTCCCCATGTCTACTAACACCTAAGTCTGATGGCACACCCCGTTTCTGCACAGATTATCGGAAGGTAAACGCTGTAACGGTCTCTGACTCTTTTCCGCTTCCTCGTATGGAAGACTGCATTGACAGCATCGGCCCTGCCAAATTCATCACCAAACTCGATCTCCTTAAAGGCTACTGGCAGGTGCCTCTCACTCCCAGAGCTTCAGAGATTTCTGCATTTGTCACCCCTGACCACTTCATGCAATACACAGTAATGGCCTTTGGCATGAAAAATGCCCCAGCTACTTTTCAACGACTGATGCAGTTGGTGTTGGGAGATGTGCCCCAGTGCAATGTGTATCTAGATGACGTGGTGTTATACACAGACACATGGGCAGATCATATGTCCCTTCTGAGGACAGTGTTTCAGCGGCTAGCCGAGGCCTCGTTGACCCTCAATCTCGCTAAGTGTGAGTTTGGTAAGGCAACCGTCACTTACCTAGGTAAGCAGGTGGGGTTTGGGCAGGTCCGCCCAGTGGAGGCGAAGGTTGCTGCAATCCTGGACTACCCGAGTCCAGCCACCAGACGGGAACTAAGGCAGTTCCTAGGGATGACCGGATATTACCGGTGTTTCTGTAAGAACTTTTCTGTGGTCGTGACCCCGCTAACCAAACTGTGTAGCCCAAAGGTGCCTTTTGAATGGTCAGTTGAATGCCAGCATGCCTTTGAGTCGGCAAAATCTCTTCTGTGCAGCACCCCTGTATTGGCAGCTCCAAACTTCTCTCGCCCTTTAAGCTAGAGGTCGATGCCAGTGCCACCGGAGCCGGGGCAGTCCTGCTGCAGGATGATGAGGAAGGTGTGTGCCATCCGGTCTGTTATTTCTCTGCAAAGTTCAAACCCCATCAACTGAACTACTCTACCATAGAGAAGGAAGCCTTAGCTCTGCTTCTAGCTCTGCAGCACTTTGAAGTGTATGTGGGCTCCAGCGCTTCCCCGGTGACCGTGTTCACAGACCACAACCCCCTTGTTTTTCTGAACCGGATGTACAATCACAACCAGCGACTGATGCGCTGGGCACTCCTGGCCCAGGATTACAATCTGATGATCATACACAAGAAAGGTACTGACAATATAGTGGCTGATGCGCTCTCACGCAGCTCGCAATAGGTTGTTGTTGTTGTTATTTTGGTAGGGCTTCAATGTAAGGGGGGGGAATGTTACGTTCTGTGAGGCTGTGGGAGTGTGTGGGTGGGGTGTTTGCCCACTCTCCCCGCCTCCACCCCTCTTGCCACTCCTACCCCTCTCTGTCTCTCTCACTCTCCTCTCTCCCCAGGACACAGCTGCTGCTGATTAGCCTCGTTTGCCACCTGACTCCAGTCAGCAATCATCCTCTGAGGCTATTTAAACTGGGGATGAGCTGTGAGCAGGGTGGCTTTTTCCTCGGTGGCTCTACGCGGTTCTGTGCTAGATTTTGGACAGACAGCCTCTTTCTGACCAGTGAGCAGACGGGCTTGTGGGCCCTGAGAGTGTCTCCCCGTGGTGGGGAGTAGGGTAGGAAGTGTGGGAAGTGCCTCCTTTTTTTATTGTGTTTGTTTGGTAGTCCTCCTGCCTTTCGTGGCTGCGAGCGTTTTCTTTGTTTCTTTGGCGTTATTGGTAAGACGGCGTTGCCGGCCCTTTAAGTTAATGTTAACCTGTACCATTTTGTAATAAAGTTTTATTGATGCAGAACAACTCTGTTTGTTTTCCTTTTTCATTCTGATTCCGGACTCATTTGTTACTGGTCCCCTCTCTCACATGCCTAGACCCCTTCGGGGGGAACGTAACAAGGAATAATATTGTTCTGTATACCAGGCCAAAATCAGCTCTACAAAGTCTCTGTGTATCTGAAGCAGACTGTTTGCATGTGAGCCACACATTCACAGACATACTGTTAACTTGGTGTGTCTTAATTTTGATGGCCCGTTGTTTTTCAGGGTCCCCTAAAGGAATCGAGTTTAACTCGGTGAAGGAGGTGCTGCTGTCTGTGAAAGCTGTGAAGTCCATGCACTGCCTGCACCTCTGGGCTCTGACCCTGGGCCAGGCGCTGGTTTCTGTTCACCTGGCTGTAGGTAAAGTAACACACTGATCTACAGTGCATAGTACAGTGAGAGGCACAGGGAATTAAGGCTACTTTAACCCGACATTAAAAGCTCCACATGGCTGATGAGCATTAGCCGGCATATTCCGATATGGGAAGAGAAAACTGTGATACGAAATGTGGATTTCTGAGTTACACCCCTCACAGACCACAGTAGAGTAAACCACACTCACTCTGTTCATTTTTACCTTCTTGTTTCACCACCAGAGGAGGGCACTGACCAGCAGTCTGTGCTGCAGGAGGCCACTGACCTACTCCACACCAAGTTTGGTTTCTACAGCATCACCATCCAGGTAGAGCTCTACTCTGAAGACATGAGCTACTGCTCCCACTGCCAGGACCCCAGTGACTGATAAACAACCAGAGTGGACTGGACCCAGCAGGACATGGATGACTAAGACAGATTGTCATTCTCTCCTGGTGGTCTGGAGTCGTGAGGGATGTATTCACAGAGCAGCTTCCCTTCAAGGAAAGAATTTTTGGGTTGTTTTTGCCATTAAGTTTTAAAAGATTTGACAGTGAAATCATCCTTGTGCTGATAGTAGAGTCCTGATACCAAAGCTCCATGCTAACATGGAATATGCCAGTTCATTCAAAGTCCTTCAAAAAGGGGTGGCCTGCTTTATTTCCATCACAAACTGAGACAATTTCACAAGAATCATCAGGGTGAAGCTGTCCTTGGGGTTGCTGGTGCTAGCTTGTAAGGAAGTTTTCAAGAATAAAGGAAAGTAGGGCCCTGAAAAAACAAACACATTTTACCAAAAATCTGACCTCTTCTAATTAATTTCCTCAACAAAACAAAGATCACATCACAATACTATTTATTTAAGGACCACTAATATCTTATTTTCAGTAATATGGTGCCAGTTCTGCTCTGTTCTACCTTGGTGCCTTTTAAGAATCAGCCCACTGGTTATCTGTAAAGTTACTGGCAGAAACTCGAGTACTTATCATGGAAATAACTTTATGTGGTAGTTCCTTCATAATGACAGATGTCCATCTTTGGGATAAGACATTTTGTGGTGTAGAGATGGTGCCCACTTTTGGTCACAAGTACCACTTTTTTGGTGGAAATGCCTGTGCACAAGCTCAAGGTTGAAAATAGATATAAGTGATGCATAGAAATGATCAATAATAGTAATTGTTCTCCACCAGACACCCTATTTTAAATTAAGAACAGTCATACCAGCTAAAATTCAGAAGTTATGAGTTATACTTTACCATAAATTCTGTATTAAAACACCCTAAAGACACAGTGACATTATTTATTGATGTCACTGTGTATTAAGTTTTTATTTGTTTCTTTTTAAAAAAAATAACAGTTCTGTTTTACTTGCGCCTCAGCATGTTTCATTTCAGGCTTAATGTAAGTAAACAGAAAACACTGCCAAATAAATGAGCACATACAGTGATTAGGCTTATAGCTATTCCTACAGTAAGGTAAATCCTTCCTTTGTGAATCTAATAATTAGCACAGTTTACAAAGTTAATATTATGTTGCATTACATAAGAAGTGTTACTCGATAATGAGACAATAGACGTTCAAAGAAAGTGTTTATTGAGGTCCTGACTTAAGAGAGGTGACGCTTCTTTGTTCCACTGAGTTCTGTACAACCAGAAGCCTCATTGAAACTCAAGGAGTCGCCCTCTGCTGGTCAGAAGGAAGGATGCCCATGTCAGACATTTGAACAACAAAGAAATAAATAAATCTGAGGAATTTTCTGAAAATATTTTTTTCAGCCACTTCTTGATTAATGCAACTTTCTTACTCATTTTAAATGCTAAAATGACTTAAAAAAATTAAGCCATTGTGGAGGGTGATGAATTGCACGTTTTTAATTTTGCAAGTTTTTTTTTTATAGTTGTCTTCTACAATTGAAAGGCAGTAATTGTAGTAAAATCCCTTCTTCTTTCAAAAAGATGCTGAATCACTCAAACACTTTAATTCAATCAACTGTGAAATTAGTGTAAGTTAAGTTCCACAAAACAGGAACAGTCTCCTCAAAGTTTTCTTCAAATTGCTAAAAAAAAAAATAATTAAAAACACTTTTAAAGCACCACAGGAGATTGATTTTGCTGACGTGATTAAAGGCATCTGTGCAGATGTTTGTCCAAAGTAATTTTCAGTTTATCTTCTGGGCTATTAATTAAATGTTTCCAATTAATTTATGAACATCAGCTTTACTCTGTAACAAGAACATAAGGTAATAAATAAGAGGCATAAGCTATATCATCTGCTGCAGATGTTAATATGGAGCACCTGATGAAACTCTACTACAGACACATTTGTTGTATCAGCTCTACCAGACCCACTATAGTGTAGTCATCTCTATGCAAGGCTTGCAAGCATAACATATTTTTAGTGCTAAAGTGTTAAAAAGCTCACTGATGATTGATTTCTGACATTTCTTTGTGCATGTTTCAAGTACCTGTAACATGCTGTCTTGTGAGTAAGAATAAGAATGACTCTTTAAAAATCTTTTAATTTTGTCTGTACTCTTGGTCACCAAAGACCACATTGTGCTGTTACTAAAGACCACAGGGACGTCATGAGACACAAACAGGAAAGGACATAACAATTAAATTGTTAAAGAACAATGTTCATCCTTAAAAGGAAATGTTGGAGGCATGTGGCACTACATGTGTCACATGCAAAATGTGTGCAGCTCTTCAGTAATAAACTCACATATAAGTTCACACTTTTGTTTTCACTTTAGAAAATACATAAAGACGTATTCATGTTTCTACCAAACAAAGGGAAACGTGTTCCTTCTCATGATTGATAAGCACTTTGACAACAAAGAGTTTCAGAATCACGATTAGCTTTCCAAAGCGACCTTTAAAAACAGACACGATCAAATCTGTGTTGCATGTGTAGCTCAGAGCTGTTTATATAATGGTGGGCAGAGTATCGATATGGATTGAGCAGAAGGAAAATGAACGGAAAGTGTCAGACTGAAAAAGCATTCACCTACCTCCACTGTCAGATCTGAGTGGACATTTGGGTCTGAGGGCAAAAATGATTTAGTTCTGGAGCCGGACGATTAGTTTCAGCTGCGGTCATCTATCTCTCTCTCATTCTTCCTGCAGACATCCATCTACTGTATGTTTCTCCATTTCCTGGGCTTTCATCAATCCATCTGCTCTCCATCCATTCATGTTTTGCAAGTCATGAAGCATCAGCTTCCTCTTACCTTTTTATAGACTGGGGCTGGGCTATAACTTTATGCATATCTGACACAAATCTGTTATATTTTTGTTTTGCTTTGTTTTTGACCACAGAAGAAGGCAATGCTTATTTTTTGTACTGGGATCCAACCAATCCCAAAGAGCTAGGAGAAATTCAAAAGGCATTCCAAATAAGAGACTGGGCCTAGAGACCTAAACATTTTGTTAACTTTCACCAGAATTGTAGACAGATTACTGAACATAGACCAAGAAGCCCAAGAGATTAGTCCAGGGTCCAGTTTGTTTAAAGTGACTGTCAGTCAGTCTACTACAGAGAAACACATAAATATGAAGACAAGAAAAACTATATGAACACAAGTAATGGGACACCTACACACCACACCTACAGGAGCTGCGCCACTTGCAGCTGATCATATAATTTCTAGGAGGGAGAAATTTCATGAAATACCTTGTTGCTGTGGATCCTATCACTGTACTGTGTTCAGATTCATTGGGCTCTTTAAAGTGACCCATTCTTTCACAAATGTTTACAAAGGCAGGTCGCATGGCTAGATGCTTAATGTGATAAGCTTATGGCAATAGGACTGAAAACACCTCTATTTAAAGATTAAGAGGTGTGGTCCAGTACATTTACTCATATAGTGTAGTGTTCATATACTGTACTTTAACTAAAAACAATCACAGAATGAATGCAGAGGACCCCCCCTCCACCCCACCCCCACTAAATTTACATCAATCTGGCCAACAGTTTGTTTTGTTTGTGTTCAAAATCATGATGTAGCTGTTGGGGTGCTTAGAGGACAAGAACAAGCTAGCAAGCAGAAAGTTTGGGCTGATGATAGTTTTAAGAATGGGCTGTAATCACATTGTCCACTGGGGACCATGAATAGCCACAGGAAGTTTCACACCAATCTTTTCAAAAGTTATAATTTGGCCTAAAGGGTCACAAAAAGACAAACTGGATAATTTATAAAGAAAAATGTAAAGATACCTCCTCTGGGGAGCAGGAATGGGGACATTTTCATAGTAAGCTCTCCATTAAATTGGTTTGTACTAGTTCATTTTGCACAGTGCAGAAAATCTGAGCTGGTGATGGCACTGGGAGAAGGGGTAATGCAATCATCACAATCAAAGTTTAACTGAGACATCCTCTGGGGACCATGAATATCCACAGCACGCTTCACAGAGAGGTCATTAGTTACACTGAAGATGGCACTTAGAACCGAGCACTTAGACTTACAATTACATATATTTACATAAAAAATACACAGCATTTTAATGGAAAATGTCCACTATTTTAATGTATCCATTGCTGTTGGTGTGATTTACGTGTAAATTCACGATAATTTTTCTTTTTTTCTATTAGATCTAATCCTCTGGGGACAATGAATATGTAAATTAAGTCTTACAGCAACATGATTATGGTGATTATCTATTAAGTGCCTCCCTCCTTTGGCATGAGAGGTTAAGCTATTTTATGACCAAACCGGAAATTTTAGAGGGCATCACCTTGGGACTTGCTCTCTGGTTGTTTCATTCTAAAACATTTTGAGGTGATGGTGGAGCTGGGTATCTTCAACATTATAAAAATTCACTGTCTTAGATCCGCAAACACCCACAGCATGTTTTATGGAGATTTCAGATTTAGTTTGTATTTTCTTTCAGGTTGAGAAAATATAATAATAAAAAAAAGCTATTTTACACCCATAAAAAAGCCAATGAGTCCGCCAACATGCCTGTAATGCTTCCCAGCTGCTATCAAGTGTTACTGTTGACTGTTGCTTTAAATTAAAGGACGATTATGCATTGAAATTGCCGAATTCACGTCCATTCTGATCCAAGAGCTTGCATGGTTGTTAGCTGTTATTCAATATCATGTACTGTAAGTAGCTTCATGTTCAACTGCCAGTCAGAATATGTAGACGCACCATGTGGAGGTTCAATCAAAGAATAAAATCTTCTTTAAAATTCTATATTTTCACCAATTTTTAGAGATCCTATATATTTTTTTTTCCTTTTAGAAATTATAAAATGAGAATATATAAAGGACCCAACACCTACAGATTTTAGGTTAAAACCAAGTAAATATAATAAAGACCAATGAATTTTACTGCACTGGTTTTGATATACATGCAGTTCTCCTATACGGGCTCTACTGTTACAATTGAAGCTTTATAAAGTTTATTTCATTCCAAGAAAAAATAAAATAAAGGAAAAACATTTCCTGTTTGTTCACTCTGAACATCTAATGTCTGAGAATGCTCTGTTATTGTGCCGTTGCCATTTGTGACAATTAGAATTTGTGTAACTGTTGTAAATATGTCAAATAATGTGATTTTGTGTGTACATGTGTAAATACATCTATCTTCCATGTACAAAAAGTGGTTCCCAAAAAGTCCTATTTGTCTGTGTTGTGATGTCACATACGATCCACTTGTCACATGTGTGATGTTTGATATTTCATTTTTATGTGTGGCAACAGTTTTTGTAAAGTGAAATAAAAGACTGCTGATGATGGAAAGAAGCTGGATTATTTTAGTTTAAAAGTTTAACAGGAAATAAAGACTGGAGCCACGGTCTTGCTTTATTATAAAATTTATTATATGTAACATTTCAAAAAAAGCAAAAGCGAGCAGGGAGAAGAACATTTCGATGCTTTTATGAATAAGTTAAAGATAATGTTGTCAGTAATGAAATATGGCCACGGCTGAAATATTATTGTGAAACTGTCACTAAAATTTATAATTAATCAAAAAATGAAGCACACTTTAAAACCCCTAATTTAACTCAGAGGGAAATGTGTCTTTAAAAAAAAGTGATGCCAGTAATTAATTACACCTCACTATTATTTTCTTGTAGACAGTTAAAAATAAATAAAGTTGGAGAAAAACAACAACGGGAAAATGTACACCAGGTAAGAAAAAGATTTAACATTTCTAAGTGTTATATCCTGTAGATACAAAAAATTCAAGTATTTTCCCTAATTAGAGCCTGAGTTGTTTGAACAAGCAAACGCAGCCAAAATTAGCTCCCAGCCTGCTACCGATAACGTGAGAGGCTGATAACAAAATGAGGGAATGCACAAAAAAAACCCTCTCTAAAAACAAAGTCACAAATTAAACAACGCGTGAGAAAGTCTGGAAATATTACAAACACCAGTGGGTTTAACTAATGAAATTACTTATGACGTTCCAGAACACTCTTGCTAGTAAGCCTAAGAAATATTGGCATGACGCACCAATTCTTTGGAAAACAACGCCATCCTCACTTTAAAAAAAATAACGTTTTAAACGTCTTTCAGCTCTCCGTCGCACTGAGAACATGTGCCTTCAAAGAAAAGGTTGCGCTTTCCTGCTGTAACTAACAGGTTGTAAAAGGTCCAACTTTTACTTTGAAGGTGAGCATTCTCCACGTGTCGCGCTTTTCAGTTTCAATGTTGCTTGGAGAACATTTTGCAAGTGTTTGCAGACAATCTGGCGTCTTCCATGTAAACTATGGGCAACTGTTGTAATGTAATCAAAACGACCAAATCAATCACCAGAAGGTTTTTGTTGCAGCACCGTGTTCCTCTTTGCAACCAAATTCATGTGCAAACAACCACTCTCCAACCAGGTGGCGGACACACATTTCATCACTGAAATGGTCTCTAGGCCTGTGTGAGTGAGGGTTATGAAAGGCACTTAACTGTCAACTGCTGCAGTTTTTCTGATGTAGAGAACAGAACTGTCATTATTAGGACTTTTATTATAATTTGATAAGAAGAAAATGGAAAACATGGAAACATTTAATTGCCAGGAAAAATTAAATGGCTTTGAATTCAACAGATTCTGGTTGGGTTTGGTTTACAGAGAGAAAGTCTTGCTTCAGTTTCTCAGGGTCAACGATGACCAAAGATCAAAAGAAAAGCCCCTAAACTGGTCATGAGAGAGTTTTACTTTTGTTAGCTTGCATACTGTAATTATGTCAATTTAAAGTTGAACTTCATTATATACGGAGTGACATTCAGACAATTTGGATATATCTAGCCATGTCTAGATGCTTCAAAACCTGGACCAATTAAACCTGTAGTACCTTCATGGCTTGATGTCATTAGTTTTCGTTGACTGATTTTCAACATATACAAATGTATAAGAATAAAAACGTAATATTCATACATATTTTCATTATTCACAGCTGCGTGTTTCAGAGGTCACTTTTTTGACTGTCTCTTGAGGGAGTACAACCCACCGTAGCAAAGTTAAACTCCTGCTATAGCTGCTCTGTCACCGCTTGGCCCGGCGAGTACAGAGCGTTGAACTGGGCCTGACTCTCACCAATCATCTTCTTCAGATGAGAGTTCATCAGAGCCCTTACACAGTTAAATCTAACCAGTCCAGTCTGACCCCCGGATGCAACCCAGTCGTGGCAGCTCATGTTTGGGTTGAAACGAACCTGAAGAAATGAGAAAAGACAGCTGAGAATATTTCTCGTCTGTGCTCTTCAACCAACAACTGAACATCAGAGGTCAATTTACAGAAGAGCAGATACTGGCATTATTTACAGGCAGAAAAGCAGAGGACCAAGTGTGGATCCCTGAGGGACTCCACATTTAATACAAACAGCTTTCTTTGTGTTCTACTAAGGCGACAGTGGTTTTTATTTATAGGCTAATTTCTTGTTTTCTCTGTCCACAGTGAATGACGCAGCTGTAGCTCTGAGTCAATATCATCACTTCCCCCTGATTTCTTTACAGACGCTTATCCACCCCACTCACCACTATAAATCCTCCTGGTGCACGCCTCCCTATATTTTTTCACTTCTCCTTCCCAAGTTGCCATCCTCCTCTTTCTAATCCATTTATCCCTCTCAGACAAAGAGCCAGTCAAAAACCTTTCCCGTTTTGTTTTGGAGCCTGTCCCAAGAAGTATCCGTCCATCATTTCATCCCAGAGGGCACAGCGACACCCTTCACTCTGCCTCTCTTAAAATTAAACACATCAAATCCTCAAATGGCTGCTTTCCATCTCCCCCTCCCTCCTTCCACTGAGGGTGACATTTTTCTCATTTAACACATCATTACATTCAGCCCCTTTATAGCTGCCCATCAGAGGAGGAGGCAGAAGAGGGAGGAGGAAGAGGCTATTCTTACAGATCTCACCTCCATTTCCTCTCATTGCACTGTTTATCTTTTCCTGCTTTTTCTCTTTGTGTTGCACTACAGCTGGAGTCTGATGATACCCGCCCTGTGTGTGTGTGTTTCAGATACCTTATATAGAGCAGACAAAGGCATGTCATCCAGGATGATCTTTGCCTTCACTTCTGTGTCTTTCATGCGTTTCCACACAGCTCGCCTCTCGCTTCCTGCAGTGGTCCGCTGAAAGTCAGAGTGTATGATTATTACAGTGTCAGTGTGGTCTTCCTCTTATTTCGTTCTCTATTCTACTATAGCCTTTTTCTCCAGTTTGTCTTTGGCCTACATATATTACTGGAACATTCCTTACTTTTTAATAAATATCTGTTTAATAAAAAACAATGAAACCAAATGAAGATAAAAATTAACCCACAAAATCAAAATCTGTATAATGGAGGCAGTATTTCTTTGTAGCCTCTTTGTAGGTCTGGAATTTCAGCGGAGGACATTTTCGTCCAACTCTTCCTCCTTCACTGTCGTTCTCATTTCCTGCTTCCTGTGTAGCATCTGGTTCTTCTGTCTCTTCTCCCTGCTGCTCTTCAACTGCGTTTCCTTCCTCTTCCTCTCCTCCCATTTCTTGTTTTTCTCTCTCCGTTGCATCATAAGGCACCATAGATGTGAAGTAGATGGGCTGAAGGGAACAGGTTAATAAAATGGACCGTTAGCTTGTCTCTAAATCTGAGCAATTCTTTCACTGCAACTGGCCACATGTTCAATTCATGTTCTTTGTCTTATTTTCTATGAACACTACCAATTTTATATGACATCTGATATAATGTAAAATGATATTTTTGAAGTAAACATAGGGAAAAATAAAGAGCGATAAAAGTAAAGGAAAAGTAAACTTACAAATCGTCTCTCTATTGTGCGTTTGATGTAAGGAGCAACGTAGCTGATCTGAGGTAACAGAGAGAAAATCACCTCTCCGAAGCTGTCTGCGGTCACCAGACTGTTAATCCACTCGGTGTATGACAGAGACTGCAGGGACGCATAGAAAATGAAATATTAAATCACACAGCACTGCTAGGAAAAAAAGTTTCTCTCAGTAACTTAGAGCAAATTTCAGACACTCAGGGATAGTTTGAGTAATGAGACTAATTACAGAAGCACAACTAGCCTCGAATGTATCAGTTCCAGTAGTTTTTTTCAACTCACACACAATTAAACCCAAAACACTGCAGCAAAAGGAGGTTTTCAATGATTACAAAGGGTAAAAGAAGGTAGCAGTCTTTATTTTCCTCATCATCAACAAAACGATAAAATACTGTTTTGAATCCATAACTGACACATCCTATACCTTTCCTATTGCTCAATGCCACCTCGCTCTACGCCTGGCCTAAACTATTTAACACCACACTGTTGTGATGGGGGACGTGTTCATTAATCACAATAAAACACGGACTGTAGTTTATTTTAAATCAATTTAATACTAGAGGGCAGCTTTTCTCCCATAAATACTCACTTAAGAAAAAAACGTGGACTAATCCACTGCTGGAGACGGTTCCAAACGAAGGCAAAATGTCCTGACGCTTGGAAAAAAAAAACTCTGAAACCTACCAGAAAAACTTCTAAAGATTCACATCCTCAGGAGGAAAAAACTGGCTGCAGTGTCAGCAAAGACGAGTGAAATGCAAGACTTGGATTTGACCTTTGAGAGGAATTTCTGACAGTAACAAAACTATGGAATACCTTTATACTCCAGAAGTCTGTGTTGGCCTTAACTACCTTTTATCCATATATATTGAGTAATATTAACATCCTCAAACTTTCTTCATCGTCTCGAAAATGACCGTCGTGCCCCTGATTTAAAGGTTTCCTGAAGTTCAAAGCTATTTTATTTTGTGCTCTGTGACTGAATTATGGGCTGCTGATGACTGAAGAATGGAAGATTACAACAGCTACACTCACCCACACAGTGCCGGACCGGGGAAGTGCAAAGAGCGAGCGCATGTGATGGTCAATGTAATGGACTCCTTGTGAACCTTTCCTAAATTAAAAAAAGAGAGAAAGAACGAGTCATAATGACTTTTTTTATTCTTACTTCAAGACTGCATATGTTGACAGATCGCAGAGGAGAAGTGGGGATGTGGAGCTTGTTAGGAGGCAGGAAGGTCACACTATGGCTAGTGTAAGCTCCACTACCTTTGGAGTTTGAATCACTCTGAAAAGTAAGCATGAACTACGATATTATCTTTGATGCTGAATTTTTGTTTTCAATGCTAAATGCAGCCACTCTGTTCATCTTCCAGACTGTTTCTACTACAGAATTTACAAAGCTGTAACCTGAAGTTCATAATCTTTGGAAGGTGCTGGCCGTTTTCCACACTTTAACTTTTTGGGACAC